TGAAAAACACATTATATAAAATCAGAAAAAAAACGATGATAGAGTTTAGTATCATTCTTAACAATATTCTCTATAATTTTTTTAATCTGAAAAACAAAATTTTCAAAATTAACCAATATTTGCCAACTTATTCACATTAATAAAGTTAGAAAAGGGGAATGTTAGGTTTTTAATAAAGTTATTAAGCCCTCAACAATGGGGAATGTTCAAAGGATCCTATATATTGAAACCCTAGTGCAAAACTCTTCAGATAGCTTTACTCTTTCTCTTCGTAAAGGGAAAGTGTGACACTCATCCGATGCCATGAAAATTAGTAAAAAAACTTATGCAAATGAAAAAAAATAAAATAAAATTATAAGATGAAGACATAATAATAAAATAGTCATCACAAAATATTTTATATCAATAATAATAATTTCTATTAAATTTACATTTTTCATTGAATGTAAAAATATTAGTATTATTGTAACAATATTAATGTATCTAATTATAATAAAAGTGTAATGATTTATATTTATAACATTATAATATTATAATACTACGTATAAATGGTGTAATAGTTTTAATAAGAAAATTAAAGAGAAAAGGTGATTGAAGAGAGAACCTTCAATTTTAAAATAGATTAAAATAATAAGTGTGCCGCGATATCGTAAAATGAGAAATTAATGAATTGTTTTGTTTTAAAATTTTTACTTCTTTTTGTTCTATTTTTATTATTTATAACTTTTCATGTGTTGTTGGATTTAGCTGGGTTAAGAAGTGTAAGTGTATTACTTATTTTTTCTTATAAGAATTTGAGAGACATAACATTGATTAGTCTTTAATACAATTTAATTGTATATTTTATACATATTTAGGTAGGAAATAGTTGTCTAAAACAAGTCGTGTACTTATAACTGGTTAAGTTTTCAACTTTTTCTTTTTTTTTTCTTTATTTCTTTAAATCTTAGTCAATGATTGAAAAATATTCTAGCACCTATGATATTGAGTGCACGAGTATTTATATGTTACCAGATAACCTTAGAGGTTGGAATCAAGTTATAACAAAAATATGTTAGAATCTTGTTTTTAAGGTAATTGTTTTTTCAGGGCATGGTGTTATTTCTCATATTTTTATCTTACATATAGTGTGTATTAGATATGTCCACTCTCTATTAATAAAATTGGGGCTTATTTTTTAGACCTTGATATAAGTGCATTCATAAATTATAGTCCTCTAATTGAACATTGTTTGGGGGCAAACATGGATATCTCGTAGGTTAGCTTTAATATACTTCAATTTTCATTTGTTCTCATGAGCACACATGTTTTACTTTGATGTTTTTATAGAACAATAAAAGTAACCATTTGTGTGGTAAATAATTTAAAATTGCAAGAGGTATTGTTTTAGAAAAATAAATTATATTAGACCCTAAACATTTTGTCACTAGTGATAACATTTGTGGTAATCATTTTTCCATATCGTTGTGTTCTTTCTCACATTTCTATCTTACATGGAGTGTGTGTTGGAGATTACCAATATCTGCCAATGAAATTGAGGCTTGTTTCTCAAACCTTGATATAAGTGCATCCCTAAATTATAGTTCCTTTATTTGAACATTGTTTGTGGACACCCACGTTTATCTCATAGCAGGTTAGCTTTAATATACTTCAATTTTCACTTGTTCTTATGAGCACACATGTTTTGTTTTGATGTTTCATTAACAATAAAAGCAACCATTTGTGTGGTAATTAAATAATTGAAAATTACAAGAGATATTTTTTAGAAAAACAATTTATAGTAGATCCTATATATATATATATATATATATATATATATATATATATATATCACTCATTGTTGGCACATTAGTATAACATTAAAATAGTCGTATAAGTTGTATCAATTTTTTATGACTGATCAAACTAGATAGCCACTTTATAGCATCCTTTGGAATTTAATTTTTTTTAAAATGAAAAGAAATGTAACATTTTCATTTTAAATAAAATATTTTTAATTTGATTATTATCACTTCATGTCATAATTATTGTTTTATAAACATCATGTGTTTCCATAATTTAAATAAAAAAAATATTTTCACTTTCTCTTTCTTCTAAAACTCACTTTCAAGTCCCAAATACCCATTTAATATTTTTTTATGGATAATTCTCTTAATCTTAAAATAATATTTAAAACAAAATTTAAATATCAATAAATTCTTATGATAGACCCCCTCTATGTTATATTTTTTTCTTCAAGCGCTCAATGTTCTCTGTGTTCATAATTTTAGGGGGTTTGCTTTTTCATTTAATTTTTTTTTACATCTTATTAATTTTTTATGTAATTTTTAAATACTTTTATTAATATTTTAAATTTTAAATTTTTTTCAATTTTTGAATTTTTTTCCTTTAAAAATTCACCCTTTATCTTTATTGATATTTGGTTTTTCTTCATGCGTATTCCAAATCTTATTACTCTTCAAACACTTTCATTATTTTAAACACACTATATAAAAATATAATTTACTGTAAAAATTTGGCATCTTCACCAGCCTTCGTCAAAATTATTAATTATTTTCAAAAAATATTTTAAAATTAAGATTTTATACTTCTAAATTTTTTTTTATGAAATTATTAAATATTTCAAAAAATAAAAGTTTGAAGCTAGAATTCTATAATTTCAAAAATAAATTTTTAAAAATTATTTTTACACTTTCAGAAAATAATTTATAAAATTATTAATTATGTTCAAAAATAATTTTCTGAAATTAAGATTCTACACTTTTAAAAATTTATAATTTTATACTTTCAAAAAATAATTTTCAAAATTATTAATTCTTTCTGGAAATAAATCTCCTAAATTAGGATTCTACATTTTTAAAAATAAGTTTACAAATTTAAAATTTTACACTTTTGAAATTAATTTTCAGAAGTAAAATGTTTTTCAAATATTTTTATTTTATCATCGTAAAGGATATTTTAAAGAAAAAATTACAAAAAAATTTAATAGAGATGTAAAAAAAAAAAAGCAACTCCCTGGAAAGCCCAGAATCCAAATCAAGGGCCAAGGGCTTGGGCCATAACCTAAAATACCAAAACCAAACCTAACTGGGTTTACTTGCGTACGGCGTCGTTTAGCACCCCATCCTTCTTATTCATCACATATTCACTTTGCCATTGACATTGACAACGATTCCAACTACAAACCACTAAAGTGAAAATTTTATCAGTCACAAAAAATTTCTAACTCTCATTTTCTCCTTCTTTCTGTTCCTTTCGGTTTATCACTCTGCAAATCCATTTCTCAGGTACCCACTGATTCATTGTTACATTTGATTTGAACGGTTCATTTGCTACTCTTCTTTTGTCACTCCCCTTAGTTCGTGTTGAAGAATTGTGGGTTGTCTTCAAAATGCGTTTTTTCTTAATAAAAAACATGCTTGCATACTCTATGTTGTTTTGTTGTTGTTTTTCTTCAGTTTATTTTGTATAGCTAGCTAGAAATCTGTGTGCTAGTTACGAGGGTGTAGAAATTATAAAGTTTAAGTCTTTTTCACTTCAAAAAATGAGCATGGGGATGCCTATGGCCGACTGTGGTACCAAAGAAATAATGTTTTCTGATTTTATTGGACAGATGATAAAAACAAATAATTAATTATTAATTTAGTAAAATCCTTTCTTTTTTTAATTAGAGCAAAAATAGAGTTTGGTAGGTATGTTGATTGTTAAATTCTTCTCTCTTTTTCCTTCTGGGTGAGAATTAATAGTAATATAGTTGGCTAGTGCCAACCCTGTAAGAATTAAAGCTAGTGTCGTATTTGTGAGTATCAATGAAGGTTACTCCAAGGTAAAACAAAAACTTGTAATTTCAATTTTATATTTGTTGGATTCTTGAAGCCAGTAATAGCAATTTTATTATCAGCACTTCTCTAGATCTGTTCTGAAAAGTGAAAACATTATTAGATAGGCTTCTTCTTAGCTATTGGTGCAAGATGCTGCGTTGAGCCTCGCTAATGTCTGATAACTGTATATTAGCAAATGCTGCTTGGTGTCGAAGTTCTGTTTATGAGTTTTATTTAAACTATGAAAGTTCTAAGAACAGTTCAGATACAACAATAACAAAGTCTTATCCCATTAGGTGAAGCTGGCTAGATGGATCACACAGTGTCACTGTTGCTTTCATCGGTCTTCTTTGCACATGTCTGAACTGCCTTAACCAATTTTCTATCATCTTCTTGTCACTATCTCCTCAAAGAGTTAATATACAAATAGATATAAATAGATTTTAATTCATTGTTTGGTTGGTTGTTTAAAACCACACCAATATAATTGGGGTCATTGCCAGAATCATGATACTATTTACATGTTGAGATATTAATACTATCCACGCAATGTAAGAAATTATACCATTTTTTTTTTCTGTAACTCTCTTTGAAGTACAGCACAAACCCCTGCAAGGATGAGGATAACTGACATACTAATTTTTGGAAGGAAAATTCAGATCTAGGAGGGACCTGTTATGATGGTTCATTAGTTCCTAATGTCTATAGAAACAAATACAAGAGCTTGATTGTAAAAGACAACTTACTTAGTATCAAAGTAATTAGAATCACAAAAATCATTAGACAATTCTTTTCTCGATTCAAGATGATTTCTTTGAAGAAATCGCTACAGATCACGTGAAGACTTGTTTTCAACCTTGAATCACAAGCTTGGATTGTATGAATCGTTTCAGTATCAGTGAATTGTGAATCTGAGCTGCATGATGTGATTCTTGCAAAGCTAGGTCTCACACACATAGTGGGTGAAGTTATGCAACCAATTTTTGGAAAAAAGCAATTTTAGGATTTTTTGGTAATTTTTTCTAATAAATTTAGAGGGAAAGTGTTGAAATCTTTCGCTCCCACTATCCCAAGTCAGATTATTGATGAGTAAAGGCATTAATCAAATTTCAGTCAGTTCAAGACTTCAAGTTGCTAAGAGCATGCCACAGGCCTAGTGTCTTTGTTTGTAGGTGTTACTGCCGTATCTTTCTTGAGCTTGGGCCAAAGTGTGAATATTTTCTTTTTGTTATTTGGTGGCTAGGATGTAATGACAAAAACAAGAAGGCAAAATCTACGGTACCTCAATAATTGAGAGGGTTTAGTACCCTCTTTTACACGTGGAACAACCATCACCGTTAATTTTATATTAATAGATAGTGAAGTTAGTGATTTAGTTGAAAAAAATATCAGTACTCTGTAATTTTTAAGATATTAGGTGGAACAACCATCACCGTTAATTTTATATTAATAGATAGTGAAGTTAGTGATTTAGTTGAAAAAAACATCAGTACTCTGTAATTTTTAAGATATTAGATGAATCACAATTGTTAATCTAAAAAAATATAAAATACCCTCTCAAGTTTATGGGTACTGTAACAAGTACCAAACAAAAAATAACTAATTGTGATTCTAATAATTTTTAAAAAGTTGATAAATATTCAGGTGTTATAAATTTTAAAAATAATAATTAAATTATAGTTTCTGCCATTTATTAAAAAAACATTTTTAGGGGCTATAGAGCTGAACTTGAGTACTTTTTTTCCCCATTATGTTGAACTTTATATTTCATTGATAGTGAGTTGTTTTACTTTTAAAAAAACTAATATGTAGATTTTTTTAGTGTTTTTGCATGATAAAATAATTTTTATGGTATTTTGAATTATTGATCATGATACAAATCAATTCACAATTAAAAAATTTGACCTTATGATTCATGATACAAATCCCGATTGTTCTTAGGAAGAATTATATAATGCTACACTATTACATGTTTTGAATATGGTTTGTTGAACAAATATATTTTTTATGCATTTTTTGTGTCTGCAAACAGCCAGTGTTCTCAAGCTTTGATCCCAAAATTTTTGTAGAAAAATAAGTTGGGGACAATTTACTATTTGCACCACATTGTTGTGGTCTGTAACATATACAACATGCTTGTGTTTTGGCCATCCTTAATTTTGTACTATATATTTCTGGTTTTTGTTTCTATATCTGCTGCACTTATTGACTTCTCATCCTTAACTTTGCAGCTTTCATTTTTGAATTTGAGAAGTTCCAATTGATTCTGCTATTTGGCAATTTCACACCAATTTTACCTTACTGGTCAAAATCTTGTGATAGAGAGATTTGTGTAACACTGCAAACTCTCATGGACCTTGTGCATTTGAGTAATGCCGTTTGAGTAACATCATCCTGATTGCAGAAGTCCTTTGACAGGTGGACATATTAAGTGGTTGTTTGTATTTGAAGTTTAAATTATTAATTCAGGTTATATTCCTTGCACCATAAAGAAACTTCCACCGATCGGGTATATTGCTTTTCAAATTGTTCTCAGATGTCAGAAATTGACTTGGCAGTTATTAAACCTGAGGTATGCTTTGTGAATTTTTTTTTCTTCAAACCATCTTGGCTCTAGCCCAATATTTCTTTTAAGTTGTCACTGTTCCTTTTTGCTTTTGGCGGTAATAGTTAATTAGTTCCTTTGACCTTTATTTATCAATAATTATCTCAATTTGAAAACGTTGAGTTTTTATTGTGAATGACAATGCCTATGTGCCTCTTTTATAGGTTTATTGTCATACTGCCATTATATTCTGTATACAATTCAATCCCAATAGGCCAACACCTTTCTCAAATATCACATTTGAATTGAAACTATGGATGATTGTGTTATGTTTTTGTTTTAAACATTTGAAACACAAGTTTATTTGATATTATGTGAATAGAAAGTGTATTTGTGTTTTAAATGAATTCGTTTATCTTTGAAGTGACTGTGTGGTCTAGTTTTCTCCTCGATCTCCTTAAGGATGGAAACTGTAGGGAGGGATCATGGATTCAAAGTTGACAAAGTGTGCATGCTTGACCCATCAAATAATTAACAGGGAGTTTCAGTTGTGAATCTCTCTCTCTCTCTCTCTCTCTCACACACACACACACACACACACATTCTTTAAAAACATTAGACATGCATGTGCTCATACAAGTCCTGCATTATCTTCTCCTTGAACCTGTGAAGTAACTTATTGCAGGCATGTAGTCTCATCAATAGCTTTTGTATTCCAATATCTCTATGATTATTTTGTGTGTGATTGTGTACTTGTCTCATATAAAATATCAAAATTGTGAATTGTGATCCTTTAATCCAAGAAAATTTCCCTACTAGAGAATCAAGGCCTTGCTATGGTTACATTTTGGGACTGAAACTGAAACTATACTGTTAATTGCTTATATTTCCAGATGATGAAGCCCTATGTCTGGCTTCAGACTTCAGATGATTCAATCCAACAAGTGGAACAAGAAATTGCAATGTTTTGCCCACTGATATGTCAAGAAATAATACAAAAAGGCATGGGATCTTCCAAGAATTGTGCAATATGTCTTCCTCAACAAGTCAGTCCTGCCATGTTGAGCTTAATTCTTGATTATTGTCGATTTCATCAAGTACCAGGCCGCTCAAATAAGGTTCTACTGATTTTTGTCAATGCACTTGTGTTATTATCTTTGTACTAGAGAAGATGATCCAAGTCTGAACAATAAATGTCAAAGGTTATTTGACCTGGGGATTATTCTTTTAAATAGGAACGGAAGTCTTATGATGAGAGATTTGTTAGAATAGAAACAGAGAAGCTCTGTGAGTTGACATCTGCTGCAGACAGCCTTCAGTTAAAACCATTGGTTGATCTTACCAGTCGCGCACTTGCTCGAATAATTGAAGGAAAAACGCCAGAGGAGATACGTGAGATATTTCATTTGCCTGATGATCTTACAGAGGTGTCTGGTGCTTGTGAGACTGAGAACTCTGTATGCCGGTTATGTCTTCTTGGATTTTCAATTTTCATTTCTCACACATTCTTTTGATCCAGGAAGAGAAGTTGGAGCCCTTGAGAAATATAACTGCTGATCCAAGGATCAGGCTTTTGAACCGTTTGTATGCTAAAAAGAGGAAGGAACTAAAAGAGCGTGAAAAGTTAAAGGTGCCACAAAATTACTTATTTTATTTTCAGCACATTTTTTTATGTCACACTATCAAAGTATCAATTGTAGTCCTTATTCCTTATAAGCTATTTCTGATTAAAATTTTGTTGATGAGCTCTCTTTAGCTCAGTGTTGTCAAGGGTGTTTAGCTTAGCTTCAGTAGTTATATGGCAGGCGGCATAATGTCACTATTTTGGAGTAAGGAATGATGTATGAGAAAATGAAAATTATTTGATAAAAGAAGAAATTCATAAAGATGAAGAGAAAAAAATACAAAGTGAAAGGAGGATAAGGAATCCTCATTAACGAAAGAGCAAAACATGAAACAGCAAAAACACAAATGTGCTTTAAAACCACATATAGAAGCCAATCACCTAATCTTTTCCCAAACCAAGTGTTGTGTGCCGTGAAACCTCTTCAAAATTTTAAATATGGAAGTTACTCTCCAAACAATTTCCCAGAAGTGTAACATAGGTTGCATGGTGCCACAAAAGGACTTAGAAATCTAAACATGCTCAACATTCTATGGAGAAACAGCAGACAGTGGCATAAGTGTAAGAAGCAGGCATGGAATTGATTCTGACCTAGCACTGCATATTACATTACATACATATACAAAAGCTTTACGCAGTGTAGGAACCTGCAAAATGTCAGTAGTATTGATTCTATTAAGTAATGCAGTCCTAATGAAAGACTTGACCTTAGAGGGAGCTTTGAACTTCCAAAGGGGTTTTCTAAGAAAAGTAGCCACATTTGAGAAATGACTGAGGAATTGAACAATGTAAAATTTAATACAAATACTTAAAGAAATATGCATACATACAACAGTATTTGTATCACTTTCAACTTCAAGCAATGATTTCTTGGATCAGTCCTTATTTGTTTTTTATGAAGCTTAGGACCGTCTACTGCCTATATCCCCTGATTGGGGAAAAGGAATCAATCAGAAGAATCTGAGAAGAATACTGATTTGGAGAAAAACAGAATGGGTCGGAGCAGGATAAATTGAGAGATGTAAAACAGACAAATGAAGTGCAGAGTGATATGGGACGCTGTTGGAAAACACAGATCAAATTAAGAAAAAGAGCATATAATAAATAGAAACTGGAGAGTTATTAATTTTTCAATGTGTAAAAGTGAATATGAGCAAGCTACAAGTGCCTGGAAGCCTTTTAATGTGAAACTGAAATTAAATTAAAGAAATAGAACAAAAAACTAACACTAAAAGAAGATAATAGGAAAAACCTAGATGAATGTTACCTAGAACAGTCTTGTAGGTCTCAGAACATTTTCACTGAGGTTAAAGCTCCATGGAGCTGAAACAGTGAAACCTATTTAACCTTGCAGTTTCGATGCTTGAGATAGATACAATTTTCTGATCTAATTGATGTTTTTCAACCACAGCATGGTCAAAAGACCTCACTACCCCTAAAAATTGCAAACTCATTAGTTTAGAATGAGGAAAGATAAGTAATGTCCCATCTGCTGCTTCTTTTTGTAAGATGCACCACTAGCTGTTGACAACATTGGTGCATATTTATTCTTGCTTCATTTTATATTACTGAATTGTAGATGTGTTTTGACTTAAATAAGAATCAATCTGTTTACGTGTTTCAGAATGTTGAAGTTGAAGAAGAGCATGTGGATGAACGTTCGCTTGATGACCTGTTATCTTTTATTAATGGAAATGATGGAGGTCAGTTTAACACCTTATTCCTCCTCTTCTCTGTATTAATTTCATTTTTTATGTCTATAGATTTATCAAATGTATACTATTTAAATGTCCATCATTGGTTAGAAATATGGTCCAAATATTCCTTATAAGACTTGAATAATCTTTCTCTCTTGATCTAGCATTTAGGAATGAATTAGACCCGGTTGATATCTAATATGGTCCCATAGCCTATCCTTTCTCAATGTTAGGTCATCCACATAGGTTCCTGCAAACTTTATGCTTTCCGTGTTCTGTCTTGGATGTTGGATGGCTAGAATATTCTTTATAAAACTTAGACAATCCTTCTCCCTTAAGCTAACTTTTGGTAGTTAGGCCTTTGTTTCTATTTATGTACCAATCTCATTACTATCCAGTAAAGACTTCATATTTGATAGTACTCGTTGACCATAAGAAAACCCTCCTAAACCCAAAAGATGGGCTTACAAATTGACTTGGGCTTCAGTTCTCACTATCAGTATTTCTCAAAGCCCCTTCCTATTGACAATGCAATTCAGAATGCTAGGATGCAAAGATAACTTTTCAGTATGGTTGGTCTGTAGGCAATGATGACTGGGGCATTCTAAAATTGAGAAGATTAGTGGCAGCAAGTCTAGATGATTAATTATCACTACTCTCCAACAAGTGTATGACATACCAGTAGTAGTATGGGCAAGGACAGTGCTGAAATCTGTCCCCTTTTCTATGGTCTATACAACAAACATTTTACCCTTCTTTAACTAAATTTCAAATAAATTAATATGAAAATTTCTTAAACATGCCCGCAAAGACATAAAAAAATTCATGAAATTGTTGTGATGTATTTGTGAATTATTACAATTCATGAATTTGTGTTTATAGTTATGATTTTTATATTTCCTTGTTACCCTATTTCATTAATGATGTGAGACAGTGCACTTACCTTTGGTATGAATTTCGGGACATGTAGCACTATTAATTGCATTTTGAAATTATTTTGAGATTCTTTTGGGGAGGAGTTATCTGATTGCAACAGCCTTTTGTGTAATTTTCTTCAGTTTCCTTTTTTAGTTCCTAACTAAAGATTAAGAATTTTGTCACAGATCCAAAGGGGGTTAAAACTTCTAAGAATAAAAAGAAGAACCGGAAGAAAAAAGAGCAACAGAAGAACTCTTTGGCGGAAGCATCTGAACTGAACACAAAGGTTGTTTTAAATGTTCTGTTCTGCTGTTTAACCTATGCACTATCAAATCATTTGGCCTGTTAATTTTGAATGAACAGTTATGGTCTAATAGCCAAACTGTTAAATGTTTACCACTTTTTTTTCTTTTTTAATAATAGGAGGTAAATGGTCATAATATCAGACACCAAAGTTCAGAAGCTGATAGAATTAGTGAGATCTCATATTTACACCATACAGAAGATGACAGTTTTACTCCTAAGGTTGAGTTAAATGATGGTGATATAGATGATGAGATTGGTCCTGCGTTAAAGGAAAAAATTGACAGGTGGGGCTATTTTCTGACTCAATGCTTTATACTGTATTGTTTTAAAATCTGTTTTGTATTTTTCTGACTAAATGGTCCTAATATCAGACACCAAAGTTCCGAAGCTGATAGAATTAGTGAGACTTCATATTTACACCATTCAGAAGATTATGCTTTTACTTCTAAGTTTGACTTAAATGATGGATGTATAGATGATGAGATTGATCCTGCTCTAAAGGAAAAAATTGACCGGTGGGACTATTTTCTGACTCAATGCTTTATACTGCATTGTTTATAAAATCTATTTGTATTTTTCTGACTCAATGGTTGTATATTATATTAATATCAGACACCGAAGTTCAGAAGCTGATAGAATTAGTGAGATCTCTTATTTACACCATACAGAAGATGACAATATAGATGATGGGATTGATCCTGCTTTGAAGGAAAAAATTGATAGGTGGGGCTATTTTCTGACCCAATGCTTTATACTGTATTGTTTTTAAAATTTATTTTGTATTTTTCTTTTGGTTATCATCTTCAGCACAGTTGTACTGCTAAGTCATTGGTTTTTTCTCCCTAATCAGCTGCATTGCTATATTGATCTTATATGGACTATTGCATATCCAGGGCCAAGCCCCCAGAATGTTTATTGAACTCTATCCATATCTTTTTTATTATTTTCATGCAATTGAACATGACTTTAAGCCTAGTGGCAATGTTCATGACTCTATTTATTTACCTTCCATGCCTTTTACCAGTGCATTTTGGTATGTAAAGATATCTCTTTGATATAGAGAGATGTTTGCATGGTACAATACATGCTTTTAAGACGATGCATCCTAAAATTTTATTTGTATGGTACTTTTTGACGATGCAGGGAAGTGGAAGATTTTGCCCGCAGATTAAATTCTGTCCGGCCGAAGAGAATTCAAAAATTTTTACCGTCAGGGCAAGAAAGTAAAACAGTGCTTTTTACTACAGACCAGAGTGGTTTTCTAAGGCGACATGCTTGTATGTTTTTTCCTTGTGTTTCGGTGTTTTCCTTTGCCCCATTATATGCTTTCTATTTTCTAACTGAACTTTGAAAATCATTTGTGCTAAAACAATTTTTTTTAACGTTTCCCTTTTTCCACTTTTATCTAGTATTACTAAAAAACTTAGTTCATGATATATATTTTTGGTCTTCAATTTGCTCTTTCCCTTTTCTTTTGAATCTCACTCTTGTCTCCTTTTGCACCTTCTGCATTTTGGTCTATTAGTGTTGATGAAATGAATTTAAGTTTTTAAAGTTTCACTGTTTTCCTTCTTTTGATACATACCCTTCTGTCATATACTAGATGATGCATGTTAGTCTGTTTAGCTAATCCTCCTGTGGAGGCTCACAATTATATCATACGATATCCTATCATTTTATAAAACATAATTTGTTGTTACTGCCATAGACTTTTATTCTTACCTTAAATTTATGAATTCAGTAATTTCTGACTTTTTTGTATTTCTATGAATTGTGCTTGAATTCAGTGTTTGGTATGGTTTATTGAAATATATATATATATATATATATATATATGGATTATGATCTTTTTACACTAGTATAAGTCTAAATTCTTAAATTCTATCTGAACTTTTTATATATTTAACGGGTTATAATTTATTATATATATAAATTTCTTAATCAGTACCATCAAGACACTAGTTAGTACTCTCCTTTGGAATAAAATATTTTTTAGGATAATTTCAATTATCTTAGTGTTATTCACAACTTATTAAATCTCTCTTCATTTTCAGGAATTGTCTAAGGATGGAAATGCATCTTCATCAGAGGCTTAAACAATTTTGAGAGATGCTGACAGGCGCAAGAAAAGTGTTGCATGTCAGTTGTTTTTCCCTTTGCATTTAGTTTTATTCTATTCTTTGCTGTTCATTTTTGGTGTACAATTTTTTTTTGTCGAGGGTGTGTCTTGTACTTTTAGGTCAAATAAAAAACAACTCTAACTTGTATGGAATAGTATACATTTTGTTTTTTGTGATTTCGCAATTTTGCATTTTATTTGTATGGAATGCATTGTTTTTTTATTTTTTCCGTGAGACATTTAGCGTGGAATTAATCTTCACTGCATTGCATGTAAATTTCGCATACATGAAATTATGTTTATTGTGGGCTTTATATTTCGGTTTTATTAGTATAAGTTCTCAAGTTAATCCTAAGTATCTAAAATTTATTGTTGTTAATGAAGTATAATAGATAATTTATTTGTGTTAATAAAAATTTATCATTTTCTATGCCTAAACATATTTTTTTTCTTTTTTATTTTTAAAATCCAAATGTTCATTGTACCACGAATAATGCAATGTTCACCGTAAATACTAGAGAAACGAGAGGTATTCCAATTAGATAGTTCAATTAGATGAATATGCCGATTGAAAAGATCTGATTATGAATATTTATGGGCTGGTTTTAAGTTTTCATATTCAACTACAAATTTTCTTTAAACTTGTTTATATTATCTTTATGAAAAGTCTATATAATCATTTAATTATAAATAATCATATAAAAAATTAATATTTTTAATAATAATTAATTTAAGTCATTTATTTTAAACTCATAATTTTTTAACACTGATTACTTTAATGCCAGTATTGTCACATATTGTTTATTATCACATTTTGTGAAATTAAAAAGAAAAAAGAGACTTTCATCTGAGTACGTAAAATGTGTTAGGGTTGGCTCAACTAGATTTGGGCCTAAAATGAAAAGATTTTAGCCGTGACTCAATTAATGTCACTAATGGCCTGGATTAAGTGAAATGTACAAATAAAAAAAATGAATAGTATAAATTTACGCATCTATATAATTACGTCTATTTTAAATATAAAATTTAAACTACACAGATGCTTCAAATATCAATTCTAAGAAAATGTCAAGTTATACAAGATATGTTAATTTAAACAAAAAAATTCTATAATTTACATTTAATTTCCAAAAAATGATATAAATATCATTTAACATGGGTCAGGTTGGACTAAACTGTAATATACTAATTTAACTGTTATTAATAAATACATTCAAATTAAGATGAGCTGCTTTGGGTCTATGAGCACGCGGGTTCTATAGCCTGCTTTTCATGCAAGATGACATGACAGACTAGACAATCCTTGTCATTCATCATGAAAGATTTAAGGAAATTGGTAACATGAAAAATCTTACAGAAATTAAAATTTAGCTAACTTCACATTCAAATCTTATACAATAGCAATAGTACTAATAATAATACAACACAAGTTATGGCTACAGTAATCAGCAGCTTCACATGTTAGCAGCCTTCTTTTTTACCAGTCTTTCCCTCTTGATTGGACGACTCCATTCATATCACTTTGCTTCTTGTCATTTGCTAGGCAAAGATATGGTTTTGGAAAGACCCTCAATGATGCAAAGTCATCAAGCATGAAATGAATTATCTTAATAACCTTCTGATCCCCCCCATATGCTATCTCACACAAAAAAAGGTTACAGTACAGAGATTCATGGGTCTTCAATATCAAACAATTGGGTGATTTATCTCTCAAGTCTTAGCTGCTGATTTAAGTCCATGCTATCATACCATTTTGGCTGAAATTTTGTTACAACCAAGTTACAAATGTTACATAATGTCCTAAGAGTTACTATCACTCTCCTATAAAGTAATACCTAGGAGGATACAAGTCTGCTTATGATCAATGGTGGTTAATTGAATGGTTATCCTCTTGGATATGTGGGCAAGGCCTTTCTGGTTCCCCTCTTGTCCATAAAATCTTCAGTTCTCCTCTCTTCTTTCCCAATGACAAAAACGTGCCTGCATTTATGGTTACAGAATAAGGTTTCAGAAACAGGATTAGTTTTTGTATGGCATTCAGTAACCAAATGTCTATTATGTCACTTGGGCTGATAACCAAACAACAATCATGTTTTATCTAGGCAATGTTAGCTACATGGACCAATCGACGCTATGAGGTGTCAAAAACTAAATTTTGAGTAAAATCATTTTAGTTCTTGCCCACAGCCTATTTACCCTGGTTCATTTAGAGCTCCAACCATGCAGTGTGTTACTTCCGAGTAAGTATAACACCAACATATGCAATTTCATCAACAAAATTTTATATTTTCTGTAAACTGTCTAACAATAACTCCTTTTCTATCTGGGGTTGGAACCCAAAAAATGAAGGGAAACTAATTAGCATGATTTAAGCAAAGGCACCTTCAACGGCCAATAGAACAGGTACAAATATAACACCAAGGAGTATTTCTGTGGATGGTGAGGGAAGTACAAAATGTAAACATTGCATAGCAGAATGCCATCATGGGTGTTGTACTTGAAATTTAGATGAGTCTGACAATTATAACTTACCAAGAGTAAATGGGACTATATACAGCAAAGCTGGCTGACCATGCCCATCCATCAAGTTCAAAGCCACATATGTGATAAGGAGACCTGCAGATCAAAATTCAACGAATGCCATAAACAACAAAGCCAACAGTCACTTCCACAAGTGAAGATAGGAACATAGGGAAGAAGCAACAGATTCGTAGTGTAATTCTTAATGTAGTTAACTCAAAGTATTACTTCCTTATTAATGCTAAACTAAAAATATAAACATAATAGCTTAATGCGCTATGATGAATCAAAACAGAGATAAACCTCCTCTTTAAACCCTTTCGCACACTATGGTACCATCCAAAGACACCACTAACTACACAAGGTTGCAATAAAATGTTATTTCTTTTTCATTGGAGATAAAACCATAGTATTTTTTATGTTTCACTGTTAAATTTTTCAATGAACACTTAATTCTTTTGTCAAGTTTATGTACTTAAATGTCCAGCAATTTTTTTAAAGCAGTTTCCTAGAATATTCTGTGGTTAAATTATTAGAATATCATTACCAAGTAGAAAAGTATATGATGATAGAAGTGGAATCTCAGCATAACAGTAAACAGGTTCAAAGATTTTCACGTTTTATCATGAAATCTATCCCAGATCAAACATTTCATACCTAAACCATAAGCAGTCATTGCCCACAAGAAGTATCCAGCCCGAAGGTTCTTCTTTGCCAACCAATCATACCTGTAAAGTTAGTTATCAATAGAATAATTAATTTCATCAACAGTTCACATGATAAGAGACCATTCTCCATTCCATCTACCTAGAACATTTGTGCAAGGAAAAAATGTGGACATGTATTTTAACACAAAAGAATCATAATACAAGCTGAGTAGTAAGAGAGTTATATATTGTACGATCAACATATGACTTCCAATTGAACCTTAGTGAAAATGCTACTATAAGTCCTGGCAAGATTATGTCCCCAAATCCAATGATACTGTAACCGCCCCAAGGATCGAACAGACGTGGTATCTTGAGGAGCATGGGGATACCATCTTCTCCACTCTTATCACCTCGAGCTACCTGTATAGAGAAAAGGTTATATTAATTTAAGGGGGACCACAATATCACAAATGTGGCCAAATTCAAGCTTCGCAAAGAATGGTATATGAGGTAAAGCTTTCTTTGAAACACTCACCACTATCATCACACTCTCATGGAACCACCATTTAGAAACAAACACCCAGAAGATGTCATACAGGAAAGCACAACTAAGAAGAACAGTTCCAACCTGATACAGAAAAAAAAAAGAGTATATGTTGGTGTGTTTGCTCATAATAACTAGTATCCGGCAAAGTTATCTCTTCAATGGTTTGTCAGTTTAACTATATATAAATGCCCCATGTATGCCTCTTATTCTTAAATTCAAGCAAACAAGTAAATAACAGGATAGTGCCTTAACCAAGCTTGTTAAAAACCTAAAAAGTGGGAGAAAAAGGAACAAAACTATGAACCATTACCTTGAGATTTGGTATGCGAACAATCTGAAGAACTGTAATTATCAATGTAATACCCTGAATGAAAAGAGGTAGAAGAAGAAAGGTAAACATGTTATTCAATATTAATCCACCTCATAATTTAATGGAAATTTACAAGGTTGGCACTAACCAAATTGTATACTATAAATGTTTACAAGCTTAAATGAGGAGTGTAATAAGAAATCCTAAATGGCAGAACTTCACTTTCTATTCAACACACAAAAAATTATTATAATCAAGAGAAATAATTTATTCAAGTGGTAAGAGAAGAAAATCAAGGACATAAAAAAAAATAATAGTAAAATAAATATAAAATGTTTATTTGAAAATGTCTACTCAAGTATCAAGAAAATAAAATTGAATTTTATAAGGTAACACGTTTCATTTCCTGTATTTAATTAACTATGAGGACAAAGACTAATCATATAATTTATATATTATCATATAAATAAGTTATGTCAATCTAATAATATTCTTAGTATTTGGCAATAATGACGTATTGTTAGATACAACTACTATTCACAGTATTAAATATAAATAATTTATATTTAAATATTGTAAACTAAATATTAAAAAAACTTATAGGATTGCATAAAAAAACAAGCCCACTAAAAAAGTTAAATTCTAGTTGGACTAGAATTATTAACTAATTGAATCAAACTCGTAATTAATGAGTTTAGAGATTAAACCATGCTCATTAAGGTTTTTTCTTCAATAAGAACACATTAGATGCGTAATCCTAATATGAGTGGTGATACTCACTCATACATGATTATTAACATTTGTGTGGATACCTAGAGAAACGAAACTATGACTGTCATGTTTGTCAATACAAGATAATTCTAAAAACAAATGTATGTGTATAATGCATGCTTTAAGATATAGTAATCAAGTGAACATTTGAAAATCTTTGCAGTTCCACTGCCATTCACATACATACAATTTCCAACATCAATCATGTGCAAACCAAAATAAATTTCAAGACACAAATGCAACATCCTACAGTCATTGTTTCAGTTCAGCCACGAAGAGTATCAGATTCCCACTAGTTTAAGAACATTTTCACTTTTATACCTGTGATGTTCCAATAATTAGAAAGTAAAATCTATTGCTCTGCAGCAAGCAGATTTTTATGATTGCATCACAATTTTCTGTATTTTAATCAGAAATGCCTGGCAACCCAGTCTTTAAGAAGTAGAAAATGTATGGAAAAAACTTAACCGAAAGATAAGGTAAAAGTAATAAAAATTTCACAAGCATAAGTAATAAAATGTTCTTACAAGAATATCTTGACCAATCCAAGCATATGATGCACGGCGATAAACTGCCCAAACCACAGCAAACACAATGCAGAAGGGAGTAACAGCAAGTGTCAGATATGAAACAGCTCCAAAGAAAGGTATCTTCACAAATGTTTGTGCAGGATGTTGAAACCATCTGAAACTATAAGCATTTTGCGGTCAATTCCATATCATAACAAAAGAATCTAACAGAACAAACCATGTACTTTACAGCAACAAACTATAAGCTGAAGTAATTTCTTTTTCAATTAAAATTGATTTATTTTAATATCAACACAAACAAAACAGTGCTGACATAAAATTTACCTAAAGTAATCTTAGAGCAAAGTTCACCTAGAGCTATATGTGTGACTTGCTGCATTTGGTCTGTGGTTTTATGAAAATGAGTGCATTACCAAATACCACTTCTATGCCTATATTTTTCAGTTAGTCAATTTATTCTCACCCTGATTTGGCTTTATACCCACAATAATCAAACTAGCTAATCATAACTTAACAACATTAAATAAAGTATGCACCACAACATGATCTTTGTGTCATAAAAAATGCAGTTATACCCTCTTTCTCTTACATTGAAATTGTTGATCATCAAAAGCACAAGATAAATAACCCAACAGGACAGCCACAGAATAATAACAAAAGAAAAGTGGGTAGATTAGTTATCAAATCCTCCTCTCACCCAATCATCTTCCTTTGTGGATAAAAGACTTACCATGATAACAGAGCCACCAAACAAGTTTGCAGCCCCTGAAAGCACATGAACAATATAAAGATTTAGCTGCTGTACGACAACAAAGTCATGCCGTTGGAGTTTAGCTCCAAGTAATGACTAATGCAAAGATTACTAAATAATTGTGAGTGAAAAAATTATTTAAGTTCTGATCCACATAACAAAAATAAAAAAAAACTCATCAATCTAAGGGAATACATAATTAGACGTACTGGGGATATCAACTCTATCACACTATGGAATTATAAATGTTATGACTTATTTAGTATTTAATATAACCATAGCCATGGACTTTTCTTTTGGTCTCATTCAGAATATTTAGAATTTAACTAAATGATAGTAGCCTTGGGATTGCTAAAGGGGGGCATTATAAAATAAACAAGTTACATGACTATTCACATCCCCCTTCCATCCTCTTATTCTTCCTTCTCGTCTCTTCCTTCTTTTTCAAGTCTCCATCCATTTGTGTCAAATGAAGATAAGGTTGACAGCTTGAATTCAAGCACACAAGATGAGACTGAGCTAGAAGTGAGTGTTGGGAAGTTGAATTTTTGAAGGACCTTATCCACACAAAATTGGAAAATGAAGCTAGAAGTAAATTGTTCAGTGAGGCCAAAATAAACTGAAGGACGTGAAACAGCCAAACCCTCTTTTCCAATTATAGCATAAAGGAGCAAGGGAATAGTACAAATCTTTTGACTCTTGCTACTTTAAACAGAGGATTGAAGCATTTGAGCTCTGCAGCTTTATCATATATACATGACAAGACTCAGTTCTCTATCAAAAGGAAGCTGATGGCAATCAAATATGCCTCTACAGCTCACTTAATTTTTTGGAACGATAAGTTGAGGTCAAGGAGCAAATGAATTCAGCATGAGCTGGAATATCTGGTTCAGTTAAAAAATGAGCCACCAAAGAATGCTCAATTAATTTGCTCATGAGCTAGGGTGTTATATATCTTTACCATTATAGAAAAAGCATTCTCCCTCTTGGTTTTCTTTTTGTTTTTGTTTTTTGCTTTCATTATGGGAGTGTTTAGAAGAACTTGAGAGCAGCTTATAGAAATAATTTATGACTCTGATAAGGTCTTTTCTACTTTTTCTAAATGTTTCATAATCAAATTTATGGTATATGCTTTCATATAAAAAGAACTTATTGAATATAAGTGCTTAATTAATTTGTGTATCCAAATGCATCCTATAAGTAAAAAGAAGAAATTTGTCATAGGCCCAAGGGGACCACCACTTACAACCTAAGACATTGCAGCTGTCTTAACTCTTCAAGATACAAAATGATAATGAGTAAAGCATGGTAATCTAGTTGATCAACGAATAGATTATAATCTATGTTAGAACAAGGGATACTCTAATCGACAAGAACTAAGCCTGGAACAAGAATAACTCACCTCTACCCCACCAATGCAGAATAGAACCACCAGAACTTCAACAAACCAGAATGACATTAATTTGTACAGCATAACCAAGAAACAAGAAGCAATCACAACAAATAAAACTGCTGCTGCAGTACTGATTTCCAGATAGCCACTAGAACCAACATTTTCTGCATTAGCATAATCATCTGAAGCATCCTGCAAGTGTAAAAGTTGATCCATATGTTAGTAACTGGATTAATGAGTTTCTAAATATGACGGGAAATATTCCTTTATAAAGAAAAAAAAAAATAGTTAACATTAAAAGAGAACAAACAAATGCTTTAAAGAGCCCCCCAAAAGGTAACAAAGTAAACAAAAGCTTTATTGTCTTAATGAGTTTGTCTTATCCTCCTCGCTTTTGTATTCTAACTTTCTTTACTCTATTGAAAGAGACAGAGAGAGAGAGAGAGAGAGAATAAATCAGCAGAAAAGGAATTGATAACCTTTAAAAGCTTCTCTTGCTCGATAACTGCTTCTCTTGTACTCCAGGCAGACCAATAAGAAGCACACAAAATGGTACCAACAGCCATAAGCCACAAAAACACTTCCGCAACATCAACCAAAGGACGAAGTGGAGAGTATAACTGTATGGACACTAAAGAGCAGGAATTGCACATGCAGAAGTGTAAATGATGTCAAATAAGACACACAATCAGATCAGGTATCAAAATGTGAAGTGGTCATTTTAAAAATTCAGTTGTCCTGTGCTAAATGAAGAGGTATGAGTAATTACAGAAAGTGAGACAGGTCAGAGAAAGTCAATCATACCATTGGAGTTGTTTTCAATATGCCTTTCCAAGTTCAATCCAGCATCTTGTGGAAGCATAACAGCAGGTATGTTAATATCAACATCAGTTTCATTTTCTTCGCAAACCATCTTGAAAAGCTCTGCACAGCCAGGACAGTACTTGCTCAAAACAAACACTATAATATTTTTACATTATATAAAGAAATATTTACTTCAAATGTTCATTGCAATTTTTTATGTTTACTCTAATAACTAATAATGAACATATATTATTTAGCATTATCTGCAACTATAATCCCTAAGATCACCTCTAACTATAAAATCACAAATGGACAAGAGATAAACAAAATAGACTATAAGATCTCAAAAAAATTATTAAAAAAATGCAAAGACCTGTACGGTAGTTTATAATAAGGATGGCAGAAGCACCAGCTTCATCAGCTATATTTGCTTTGGTAGTGAAACTACATTTTCCTCGGTGCACCAAAATGATCTGGCTGGTGAGCTAACGATGGTGCAAAGCAATACAAAAAACACATCAATAAACTTAAAAAAAAAAAAAAAACAGATCTTTCAATCTGGATAATTATGCTTCACATGCAAGTAAGGTTTCATTTGCTAAGATCTATAGCTTAATAATTAATTCAAATTACCTTATTCTTAGGCGGTGTACAACAATCAGGAGGATCAGCCATGACAACTCTAGTAAGATTGGCACGTTTTTCTTTTGATTCCAATGTGGGGCCAAATCTTGCACCAACACCAACATATTCATTGCTTTCCACACCATCAATCCAAGTAGGGACTTTTACCTAATAAAAGAGAAGAACTTGATCAAAGCTATTAAAGAAAACATGCATAAATATGTATATATGGCAATATGCAATTTATGAAAATAGAAAGAGGCCACATAGCATTTTGCTGGAAACCATGAAGACATGAGCTAAAAGATTCTTCAGAATCAATTCATAAAATATAGCTCCTAAATCCTAATCAGCTGGTTACCTTCAAATTTTGTTCTTGGTCAAATTTTGAGTACATTCATAATATAAAATAAAATACCTATTTTCAACACTAGAAGGTCAATCAACAAAAAGAAAGGCACAAAACTACAGAAATTTTACAAGGGACACACAAAGCGTAAAACCGTTTGGACAAGAAAATAAACAAATTCATGTCTTTCAGTAGAATCTAGAAAATAACCCCACCTCCATCAATCTAAAGTGCCAAAGATACAAGTTTGCATGATAACAATCATAGGCAGAAGAAAGCGAAAAGTGATGACGAAATCATAAATATCATCAAAGATATTTAACAAAGTTAGCATACTAGAATCAAATAACAAGCGTAGATCGCTCTACTGCAAAAGCTACAAACACGCCACCTATATGATTACAATGCAAAAAGAGAATTGCTACAGTACACGATTAAGCATGGAGATATGGTATAAAAAAATGCAAGTCTATTAACGTTTTACCGCGCAACCTCCAAAACTTATGCAAGCATTTTATGTCCAAACAAAAATAATATTTTTAATTGAGCATACACCACAGGCCACAGCATAATTGAAGGTGCAGATCATCTTCAAACACTGAAAACTCAAATCAAATCCCAATTTTTCTTTTAAATATAATTAATCTCACCCAACTCTCTAATTTTCATTCCCAAAAAAAAAAGGATTTTTCTCATGTCTTCCAATTCCCCTCACTGTTCTAGCAATTTCCCAGCTAGTAAGCATCAAGGCCAAGATTAAAACCACCAATAATAACATTTCCCAACCAATTTTCCAATTCATGTGAAGATTAAAAAAGAAAAATAGGTACCAGAACAAAGTTGTTCTCGCAACCAGGCCTTCTAGGGGCAACATCATCATGGTGAACTATATCACCACCCAACACCAAAGTAACAGCAAACAGAAACACAAAGACCACACTATATATAGCTCCAACTTCAAACATACTGAGAAGTGAAGTTCTAGATGAAAATTTGAAGAAGAAACAAAAGGGGTATTAGAAAAAGCAACGGAAAATTATTTTTTTAGAGAGAAAATGACGAAGGTAGGGAAGAATTAGGGAGGAGGAACTGGCGGACAGAGAGAAGAAAAGGGTAAGCAGATTTTATTAATTATTATTATTTTGTTTTCTTAATTTCTGTTTTGTCGTTTGTAGTAACGAGGAAAAAGAGTGCGTGGTAATTGTTAGGACTAGCATTTGCGGTGCTGTCTATGTTGATAGTTTCGGTTGACGGTGACCGCCACGTGTTTTTCTGTACTGTGATTCGCACTTTGCTTTGACGCATCACTTATGTTAAAATATGTTACTCTTTTGGTACAGTGTAATAAAGTTAAAGATTTTATTAACCAGTGTTTTTAAAATACTAGTTCAAAAAAATGTTATAAATATGATTTAATTTTCTGTATAAGAAATTTTAAAAAATTATAAAAACATAAATTGAATATATAGAAAGATGAAGTAGTTTTTGCTTATAAATATAAACTTGTTCTTTTAGAAAACATGAACAGTGAACATGTCTGCTTTGACGGGTAAAAAATTGATGTTGTAGTGAATGAATAGGAAATTTGCACTGACCACTGTCACTATCATCATACTATTAGAAAAATAATATGAAATACTCATTGAATTATAATAAATATGGGTTAGAATAGAATATAGATTAGTGTAAATTGGACAAGAAAAAACAAGTGCACAAAAGCTTAATTATTACACAAACGTACGGTGGTCCTCCCACTTGTCACATGCCACTTCCTTTGCGAAAGAAAGCGCGTGGGGCACTTTTATCTCAAACACGGGTTACCGGCTAAACAAGTTTTTATTGCCGTATGTACCGTACAGTTAAGATTACTTCTAACTAATGATTAAAAAACGAATACGAGGTTCACATTTTTAATTAGTTTTATCTATTTTCAAACACTATACTTCCTTTTTTCCCTGGTAAGAGTTTTTTCTCAATATTTTGTTTCTGTTAAAAAGTGTTCATAATAATTTTATAAATAAGTTATTGTATTATTATTTATGTTGGCAATTTATGGCATTAAGTTGCTGAATTATATTATTAAAAAAAGTTTAATTACTCAATAATATGTGTATATATATATATATATAGTGGAATAATATTTTTAATAATTTTTTATTAAAAATAAAGCTTATCAATTTAATCAATTAATATAGTATTATTACTAGTGAAGATCTTATGTGCAAATTTTGGGTTAAATATATTTGTTATCTTTTAAAATATACTGTATGTTAATTTTAGTTCTTACAACATTATATTTTATTTTAAATATTTTTTTACTTACATAACTCTATAAAAAAAGTGACATGTAACACAAAAATTGACATGTCATGACATCTAAGTTAGTTGCGTTATCACTTTGACCAAACTCAAAATGTCATATATTTTGAGGGACTAAAAGTAAATTGAATCTAATTATTCTGCATAATTAACTTAGTTATTTCTATATATGTTATAATATTCTGAATAAAATAGAAATTATTAAAATATAATAGAGCAATAAATTAGCATCAGAATAGCATTAAATCTTGAAGATTAAACTGAATTAATGAAATATCGTTTTAAAAATTTATTAAATATGTGATTTTATTACATTTAACATTTAATATTACTCGATCTTCATCCATGCACAGTTATTAATTTTCACTTTCTAATCATATATAACAACTGACATAAAATTTAAATTTTTATTCCGCTTATCATTTAAGTTAAATATAATTTTTAATCTTATAAACTTCCCAAATGCATTAAAATATTTATAATAACATACATCTTTCCATTTCTTAAAATAATCACATTTGTCTTAAAACACTGTTTAAGGTTATATATTTTTTAAAAATAATTTACATTCTTATTTATTTTAAATGAATTTCTTATCTTTTGAATTACACTAGTATATTGAAACACTAATCTAAAATCGTCAATTGTGTAATCAACGTCTATCATTATACCAATATTTTTCTTGCCTTTACCTTTTTCAAAAGGAATTGTAAAATTCTACAACGTATTATGTAAATAATTTTTCATAAGGTCATTCAAACAATGGTGTAGAAAAACATAATTAAATTTGATCGATAATTACATAACTTAATAACAGTACAATAAACTTAATAAAAAATATTCAAAAAAAATTTAATATTACCACAATAAAAAATTTTATTATTTAATTATTTTTTAAAAAAATATTATTATTTTAAAAGCTTGTTTCCTTTAGCACCTTTCTAAGTTTTATAAAGCTCTGCAAGTATAACAAGTACCTCATAACAAAATTCATAGTAAAACAAAGTGAAAGATATTCTATTAATAATCGGAATATACTACTAAATTAAAGTCACAATGGGTTAGTTAGTTTAATTAACCATAAAATAATTCAAAGTTTTGAAATATTTATATGATTTTTGCAATTATTTGTAATTTACAACAATTTTTTATTGTTATATAACAGTTGCCAATAATTATTGTTGTATTTTGTTAAGTTTTTGTTAAGTAAACAAAAATGCATTAATAATCTTTTTTATAAGATGTAAAAATATCTGTACAGTAAAACAATAAACACTTTAATTATTTTTTATAAATTTAATTTAAATACATTGATAGCGTAAACATTTTTAATATTATTATAAATCATTATACCAATACAGATTTTTTATAACTATGAATGTAAAAATTATATCTATGATGTCTTTTATTTGATTGACAATATACAATTTTTATTCTAACAAATCAATAGAATTGAACTCTTTATCTTATATTTTAATGGTCTAAAAATTAATTATAATTAATTTAAATTGAGTTGAATGAAATCACAATTGAATCACTTGATTAGAAATTAAAAAACATGTGCATCACTTTTAATTAAAATGATGTAACAAACATGTGGCAGAAATTTAAAATCAATTACTAATAATAGTGTTTTTTTTTCAATGACAACCAGCGACAGTTAATAAAATACAAGCGTTCTATGTAAGATACGAGTATTTATAAATATAAATGGGAAAATGTAAATCATTTTTTAAATTATAAACAAATTTATTAATAACAATGAATATGAAACTAAAGTGTTTAAAATTGTAAAAATGGTTTAATTAATGGACAATTACTATAATATTAGTTCACAAATATTTTATTATGCTTAATATTTATTAAAAAACTGAGTGCTGATTGAATTGATTAAAATTTATTTTAATTGAATAAATAATTAAAAGAAAAAACATTGATTTAATTTCATTTTATATAAAAGATTTAAATATTCTTATCATAAAATGAAAAGAGACATATACATGAACAAAAGAACGATAGTTATAAAAACTTACTCTCAATATTGGTCATTTTATTTAATAAAAAAAATTAAATATACCTTAATTAAAAATTAATACCCCTAGGTAATATCGTCCTAATAAAAATAGAACGTAATCCCTTGCTGTCAAAAAACACGGGGCATCAATAAAAGTTAAAAAATTTTAATATATATTTTATATTATTATTTGATGTACATACCATTTTTCATGAAAAGGATTCTCTACAGTTTATTTTCAAGTGGGGAGAACCTATCCAACAAAAATTCTGAGGGCATAGTAAAATCTGAACGCAACACAAAATCACAAATATTCCAAAAATGACACTCCACGATTGAAAATTGTAGAAACTGGAATCTTTTCCTTTCTTGTTTTGTGAACAACATGGTTGTGAAATCACATGGGTAGAGATGAGATCGGAATTTTTGTTATACCTCTTCTCTTTTTTTTTCTGAAATTTTAATTTTATAATTTATTTTAAAAATCATTTATAAAATAAAATTTTGAAATTAATTTTTTAATGATTATTCACTTGTATGATTTAGAAAAATGGCCTGAATAAAAAGAAAGGGCCAGATATGAGAGCACTTGGGTATCAATTGTAATTTTGTCCAATTACTCATTAGGGTTTATTTAAGCCAAAATGAACAAATTAGTGTTTTCCTTTAAGATCGTTAAAATATAAACTTCTTTAGGCATAAAAATGGTTTATGCTTTTCCTCCACAAATGATAGATGTGTCCATCATTATCATACAGGCTTTCCATCATTTCAATCAATTAGGGGTGATGATGATTTTTTTATTTTATTTGAAACTATAATTTTAAGACAGCTATGTCCTATGTACTAATTTGTCAAAAGAGGGAAGAAAAGGATTTTTTAAGTGCTTAAAAATGGGGCAATAAAATAACAGTTGCACTATTTTCTTCTATATGTCATTCGTAATAGAAATTCAAGTCTACCACTTTCTGATAGACTACCCTGTTAATAGATTAGGACTTATTTATTTTAAAGTTACAATCAAATCCCTCAGTTTTTTTTTTTTTAATAAAAATGTGATTCAAATTAATTTATATACATATATTAATCACGTTCAATAATTTAAATTTTATTAATACTAAATTTTAAACCAAACGGAGACTTAGCTCCATTGGTTCATTCTTATCTTTTTCATGATACTAGTAGATATTATGAATTGAGTATACTATAAAAAAATATTATTCCATTTGCTTTACATAGGCCAGTCAAAATATCTTGCATCACCAACTTCCATGTAGCCTAGAAGCAACTATGCATAGCCCATAATAAACTCACTTTCAAAGATTAAAAAAGAATTAAACTGAAACCTGTCCTATTTTATATTATTTTGTCTTATCCCTGTTATGTATTCTATTTTTAATATATAATGATTCGTTCTTCCCATATCCTGCACAGTAGCAGGGAATCAGTAAAGCACAACCATTGCTTTTTAAATATCCTCAAAGAAGCTATATATTATTAATTATTAGCAAAAACTTTGAATGGTTTACTAAGGAATAACAACATTGCCCACTTCCAAATATAACTACATAAAACATTGTTTAGCCATATAAACACCATACACTACTTTTTTTTTTCCAAGTAACTGAAGATACATAAACGCATGGGTAGAAACTTTACATGTTCTGACGATTTGTACCATTGCCCACTGCCACCTAAAATACTATTTGCTATATATACATAATACATTATATGCCACTTTTTACAATAACAGAGGAAAAAATCGCAATGATAACTATTTCTCCTACAACTTTAATATAAACAGGTCGAGCTACAATTTAATCAAAAAGGGTCGAGAACTTGATAGCTTAGTATTTGTCCTTGGTGAAGTGTCATGACCTCTTTTTTCATCTGCATTTACATGTGGAACTCTCATGACTTCCTGCAAAGTAGGAACATAATGAAGGGGAGTTTTGTAAGATAACTGTTTTATTCAATGCTCTATGATGAACAGGTTCATGGATTAGGAAAATCTTTGTGCAAATTAAGCTAAAAAAAAGTTATGAAATAAAAATAACATTGGGTATTAAATAATGCAAAAGGATATTAAATAAATGTAGGGTAAACATTATGACATAACAACTGGCAAAAACTATGTAAAGAAACTTCGATTAAATTTTTTATTCAAATTGACCACTGGGATGCATATCATTGCTTTAAGTGTTCACTGTTCCAAGAGATCCTAAAAGATCATGCTGATATACATTTTGATCAAGCAGAAACTAAAAATGAAGATAGAAAGAATGAGTTACCAGGAAGATTGGACAAACAAAATGAGGAGAAAGTTATCAAAGCCCTTGAGAACCTAGTTGAAAGGTGTTGTTCCTCCACAAGAAGCTCTCATTGGTTCCAATATGGTCCAAACATCTGGATACAGGTTTGGCCGGCTCATATAATTCTTCTCACAACACCTTAAAGCCAAGCGAGCCAACTGTTCGATCGTCATAAATGGCCAGTCTCCAGCCAAAGGATCCAAGAGGGACTGTAACTTTCCAGCATCTAATGCGTATTTCACTTTCTTTATTATTCCCAAGGCTGGTCTACCAGTAATCAATATTAATAGAATGATTCCAAATGAATAAACATCTGACTTTGGTGTAAGTTCACCAGAAGAAAGGAATTCAGGATCCATGTAGAAAAAAGTTCCCTTTGGAACAGTTCTCCAATACTGTGCAGTGTTGTCACTAGAACTTTCTTGACAAGACAATATTCGACATATTCCAAAGTCACTAAGCTTGCAAACAAGGTTTGCATCAAGGAGAATATTGGAGGGTTTTAAGTCACAATGTGCTATGCTATGAGGTTTACTGGAATGAAGAAAAATGAGAGCAGAACAAAGTTCTGCAGCAATGCGAATCCGAGTTTGCCATGATAGTGGTTGGGTGTTATCCTTGCAACATAGACGATCTTCGAGGCTTCCGTTGGGCAAATACTCATAGACAAGAGTCGATGATTCTGGGCAGGCTCCTATAAGTGTGATAAGATTCGGATGCCTTAACTTGCTCAATATCTCAACCTATACAAAACCAAAATGGGTCATAAAAATAGATTTGTTTCACTAAAAATGTGGACTAGATAAGGTTGAAGTCATTTTATAGCTTCATGTATAACAACTTACACATTACAATACAACCAACTTTAAGATATTTCTGATTACAAATGCAATAGGCCAAAAGTGACTAATGCCAACCAAAATATAGAATATTAAAGTTCAAAATATCAAACAAAATTCAAACCATCTTACCTCCTGTTGAAACTCTGATGTTCCTTGCATGCTATTGGGATTCAGCACTTTTATAGCCACCTCAGTGTGTCGCAAAATACCTTTAAAAATACTTCCATATCCGCCTTCTCCAATCTTACAGGACGGATTGAAGTTACTTGTTGCTTGTTTAATATCTTCAGAAGAGAATTCTAAGAAAAACTGAAGTGCATGTGTGCTTGAAGCCTCTTCTTGTTTTCTCCTTAACGCAGACTCTGCCAATGCATTATCGCGCTGTATTTGCAGATCATCTAGTTGATCCTTATTGTTTTTTAACAAATCCTCAGCAGATAAAAGCTTCTGGTTCAACTCCTTTATCTTAAGTTCAGCTGATGCAAGTTGATTCTCTAGTGATGACTTTTGATCTCGGGCAAGTTGGAGTTCCTCATTAATTTTGTCTGTCTGGCTCTTCATGTTATCTAGTTCTTCATTTGCTTTCTTTACTGTTTCCTCAAGTTCTTTCCTTAGTTTATGCTCTTCTTTATACAATATTTCAGTGGCTTTAGCCTGTCAATTATGTTTTAGACATAGTTCCTAATTAGAGTTTGTATCAACTTGCAACTTCAGCTTATGATAAGACAACCTAAAATGATGCCCATCCATTCCATGATTTTAGCATTGTTTAAGGTTAGCTCATGTGGCCTCCACTTTCTTATTTAACACTTCAGATCTCATAAACAAGGATTCAGTTTGGTAAACTTTCAGATAAATAGCAGAAGAAAATAAAGAGGAAAAATGAATAAAATTTATCTCAAAAGTTAAAATTAACTTATAGCCTTAAAAGTTTTGAAGACGTTAAATGAGAGGACTTCTAAAAAAGTAGAACATAAGTTAATATTAATAACTTACGAGAGGGATTTAATTTATTTTACTTCTTTATTTTTCTCTTTTGTAAGTACTTATTGAAAAGCTTGTCCAAACGAGGCAATGATTTACACCTTGCATAAGTAATAATAAGAACTCAACAGAAGAACAGTACCCTGCATATAGCATCAATGGCATCTTTTTCAGCTTTCCCACGCTTAAAAATTTCTCCATATGCATCATGACTACCATTTTCAGCCATAGCCTGCTCAAGTTGAGCATAGAAAGTATCATCCATTCCTCCATCCTGCTAGTGTTCAATCACAAAGGTAAAAATTTATCACAAAGCTCAAACGGTCAGATTCTATTCAACAATCCAAATTTTGAAAGGAAGAATGCCTCTTCATCAAACAAGAAACGTGTATATTCTCCACAGCAGATATATACACATTCTGAAAGAGGAAAAAGTATGCATACCAGTACACTAGGGGATGAAGAATGATGAAGATCCTCTTCAATCAGAGAACGGCTACTCAAATTCAAGTCTAATGCATTCTCACTGCCATCACTAATCAAATTAGGGGTCAATAATGGTTCAACTGAACCATTATCAGAACCCAATGACGGAACTAAAGGACTCCATCTTGACTGCTCATCTGACTCATCAAAACCTACTTCTCTACCCAACTTGCTCTGTGGAGTTAATAGCCTTTCTGAAGAAGAAGCAGATGAAATGCTCCTTCTTACTCCGTCATCGATAGATCTTCCTCTACGAAATAACCCTTGAAATTGATTAGTTAGTTTTGCCAAATTATTTTGTCTAAGAGCAACGGATTCAGATCTCTGCGGAGTCAGATGTCCAACTTCAGAGTTTGGCATTTGTCGTGTCAAAGGAGATATGACCCCTACATTACTTGTGTCCAAATTGCAGTTCCTGATTTGATATGGAACTTTTTCATTACCCAAGATAATGTAACCAAGCATAGAGACATTACTATTGACATAGTACAGAAAATCATATAAGTTCAAAGAAAAATGACACAACCTTTATGAAACTATTAAAGTTGAGCTCAGTATTCTAAGGCAACTACTGAGTTTCCTTATCTTCATGTGACACTGTATCCCTTGAACATTAGAAGTCATGAGTATTGATAATGCAGCATACCTTGTGTGTATGAGGTACCCCTTGCAGATAAACTGTATGTGGCAAGAAGTTGGAGCTTGTTCACTCACATATATAGCTTTCTTAGATCGGAGTGCTGTCATTCTCCTGCCATTTCATGTAATTAGAAGCTCATTGAAAACAATGTATTGACTTCATCATAACTAATAGAGATTTAAAAATTATTCAAGCTGCAAATAGTGTATCATCAGAATTTCTGAAATGAAGCATAGCCCAACAAAGTTATAGATGGGATATAACTTTCAAAGAGCTATGATTTTCTTCCTACAGCCAAAACACTCTAGAGGGGAATAAAATCAGAGGGAGAGAGAATCATGATGAAATAGTAACTCAAAACTACGAAAATATAACATGGTTCACATAAAGCTCCAAGCCTCAAACAGATAATATGATACAATAATGTGTTTTAGCTGGCTTCTTACCTAGAATGGTACTTATCAGATGCTGCTCCCATTACAAGCTTCTGTATGCTAAACTGGGAAATGAGTTCTACAATTCCTTTTTCAATGCAATCAGTTTCAATGTGTAGTTTTTCTGCCCACACCTGTATTAGAATTATTGGTCAAAAATAAAATAAGTTTTGAAATAAATATTTAAATGGATCGTTTTACTAGAAAATTACCCCCATCTTTTGGCAAATAACAAGATAGGCATCCAGAGCCTTATGCATTTCCTGCCTTTCATTTGCCCTGTATGCTTGAACTTCCTGCTCATTCAGTGCACTTGGTGGAAATTCAGCACCGACTGAAAACAACAAAATAAACAATATGAAGACCATCATCAGAAAATGAAAATTGTACCAAGCACAGCAGAGTAGTTTCACAGCAAAATTCAGAACTTGAAATTAATTGCTATAAGTGATAAACCATACATCAAATATCAGATTTGACAAAAGCAGCCTCAAAGAACAACACAAGTCATAGCATAGTCAGATAAATCTTTAAACATTAGAATTTAAACAAAACTCAGCATATTAAACTTGTAAGTATATAGTTAGGCTTTCTAAAAAAGGGCTATCTATTTTCTGGACCGTTTTGGGTTTTAATTCAAATCACCTAGTAATTTCTAAAATAGTGGTCATCAAAGCACTATATACACCAACGGGCAATTCATGTATGAGAAAAATGCTTATAGAGGGACAATTAATGAAAAGCTGAAGATGTTTAAAAAAATTAATGAAGTTTGTACTAAAGTTATTTTAAAATTATCTTCAAGTTTTGATTGATTATGTCTAAAGGAAATATTCTCACACAAGAATTACACTATACCAAACATTGACTTAAAAAATAAACAACAGTAAAGTTATCAAACTATAATAACCCCAATCCACAAACAAAAATGTATAGGCACACACGTTGCAAACTTACTCGAGGTTCGTATCAGAGGTGCGGGCGTGTGAACATGAAGGATGCAAATTCTTCTTCCTCCAGAGTTCTGTATAGCCCATATCATATTTAATTTGCTTTCTTTCACATCCTTTGCCACAGCAACATAGAGTGTATCATTAACCATACTTGGACTAGGACTTGGCTCTTTTACAATTTCTCTCCTACTACTCGTGATTCCATGAACCTTATCACGAAACGAGTTCACAGAACTGACCCGTTGTAGAGTTGCTGGCATAGGACTCACCACAGCCATGCTAATAGATGCAGAAATAGTTGAACCGTTAAAAAGTTTCCTTGTAAAATAACCTCTCTTTCTTTCTTCCACCCATAACCCACTCCCTATGAAGAGTCACATTCAACCAAAACTCAAAACTACCCAATACAGCTTACTTTCTCTTCTAACCCAAACAGCATGAAAGACTTCAAATTTGTCTCTCAGCTAACGAGAATTCTCTCTCTCTCTCTCTCTCTCATCTCAATCTACCCAGAAACATAATCATCAAAACCTCTCAAACCCAACAACCCGAAACCAAAAATGAACAAATTAATGCATTAAAATCTCTAAAACCCACCCAAAAAAATCTTTCTATGGAACTCCAAAAAACCCACTTCTCTATTCTCTCCAAAGCTCTCTCCACCTGTATCAATTAAGAAAATTCATAACCAAAATTTCTCCTTGCTAATATGGAATTCCCACTCAACGACAATGGAATTAAACAAACAGACAAACAAACACTTCAGCTCTTCTCTATCAAAGTTGCACAAACATACAACATATCACTGTCCATCATCATATAAAAAAGAGGTTCCCTTTTTTGTTCCACAGGTGTTTTATGTAAAGCTGTATTTTGTTTATCTTGTCTTACAAGGAGAGAAAAGTTTGTCCTTGTCTAGAGCTTATATATCATGGTAGTGTTCACATAAAAAAGGCACCTAACTACTCCACAATCACCCATAAGAACCAAGGAAATTACAGGAACAACCACGTGTCCCCACCACTTTTGGCCCATTCTTATTTTTCTTCTTCTGAACATGTTCCCCCTACCTCCTCCCCATGAATTTCGAAGAAAGAGTTTTAGCCCAATATTTGGACCGCCAAATTCCAACCTATAACTGTTAAGGGTACGGCCTATTGCTTGCTCCCAAGAATTTGCTGATCACCGTAATATGTACAAAATTGAATAACTTGATCTTACTTAGGCTAACCAAAATTTATTTATAAAAAACTAATAAAATTTTTAACATAAATATCTTAATTTCATTACATCATTTAAGATATAATTATTATTTTATAAGATAATTTAAACAACTTCAATCTATAGCTATCCGTCAAACATCGAGACAGCTGTAACCTATCTATTTTTCGCTTTTATTGCTAATGTTTTATTTGGTTTAATAATGCACTTTATCTTAGTGAGTAAGGACCCGTTGAAGTAGAAGCTTTTCAATCTTCAGTATTTACTTTTCTAGTAGTCATCAATGTCTTGAGACTTACGTGGAATTTGCTATAAAATGTAAGGATTTAGGTCGACATCTAATGTATTTTCTGACAGGATCACTGAATTTGGGAGAGAAAATATTTTTACCCTTTTTTAACATTTTAAATTTTACATAATTTTTTAAAAAACTTATTGATATTTTAAATTAAAAATTACTATTAATATCCTCATAATATTCACTAAGAAATTAAAAATAAAAATATATTATTGTAAAACATGAAAGTGCACCTGTTTTAAAGATTTTTAATGTCTCTCAATATATTTTTTTAATTAGTATTTTAAAGACACGTTAAATTATCCTTTTAAATTTTATAAAATGATATTACTTTTTTTATTATTATACTTGTTATTCGCTATATTGATTAATGTCTTACTTACTATCCTCTATCAAACACGTTTATTAAGGGTAAACTAATGAAAAATTAATAGTTCATTAATTTTATAAAATAATAATAAACTTTCCAAGATAAAAATACCAAAACAAATTATTTTTGAGTAAAACTTTAAATGTTAAAAGAAAAAAATGTAGAGAATATCAAACTAGATAAACCATTATCTCTTTAATTCCTTTCTCACCATTTTTATGGAAACAAACAGAGTGTGCGGAAGCATCCCTCTTGTTTTGCCTTGGTAAAGCTTGACTAGTTTATGCCTCTCATCAAAGCATCATCACTGTGATACTTTGAAGATCCAATCAAGCAATCACTGCCTCAGGTTAGTCCTGATCATATATGTTTGCAATTTGCAATAAATAATTGTAGTTTTCTTTTATTTTATTGGAGTAGTCTTCTTTCAAATTTCTTCCTCCATGCCCTTGTATTCAAAAGTGGTTGGCATTCGGTATATTCCTTTGATTGATTCTTTTTATAAGAATCTTTTAATTAGATCACACTAGTTATAAGAATTGTTTAAAATAGCTAATGTATTGAAATCTAAAATATTAATTACAATATTCTAAAATGTTTTTTTAATTAGAATTAAACTTTACTATTGTTTTAATCACGAGTATGTTAAAATTATCCAATAAGTAGATCATATTGCAAAGAATAAAAATCAATGGTGCCTATGTTATAAAAAAAAATTTATGAATAAGGTAGAAATATAAAAAAAAAAAAATTAAATATCTAATTTATAGTTAGTGTTAGCTCATCATTAAGTCTTTGTTTGAATGCAATGAAATACAATAAAAAGAGTATGGAAGAAATAATTTAGTATAGAAATTGATATTCTCTTTTTAGTTTAAATGCTTTGTAAGTTAGTGAAAGGAAGAAAAAAAATTGTGGGTCTCAAAAAATAAATCACCTCTTTAATGCCATGAAAATTGAACAGTAAGACGGGGAGACGAGGGTTTTGTATTTTTTTTTATTTTGATGTTTTTATTTTAAATAATATAAAAAAATAAAAAAATAAAAAATTATTCAGAAAAATATTATTATAACAAGTATGAATTTCTTATGATTTCTGTAACTATTTATTTTTTTCATTTTTTACTCATTAAAACAAATAAAAAATTACACATATTTTTCTCTTATTTTTATTTTTTTTATTCTATTTTCTTAATCTTATTTTTTTTCTCTATGTAATCTCATCACCCAAACAACTTATAAACTCGACAATGCAACAAGATAATCAATATTATGCTCCTCCCTTTAAAAAATTACACTAGTTGTTGGATTGTTAATTAAAAGATTTGGCTTCATAACTCTAAGATGAGAGTTGAGTATTAAGAACGGTAGTGATAATGATATAATAATAAAAATATAAAAAATACTTAAATAAAAATAATAATAAATACACAACAAATACTCTTTTTATTAAATTCTTTGATTATTTACATATTTATTAAAATGAGTTTTAATGATTATGATTTCTGTTTTTTTTTTCTAAACTCTTGCTTTACAGGAATATAATTCATATTTTATTTTTTATTAAAATTTTTGTCAAATTTTGTAGAATTGATTATTTGTTGCAGAAATTTAAATTTTCTCATTCAATCTATTTTTTAAAATATTTTTTTCTTAAAATGTAAGTTGCACAAACATACTGAATCTGCACATAAATTTTTGTTATTAATATTTATTTAAAAATTAACAGTTACATAAAGTTATAAGAGAGAAGAAAAATAAAATGAATAAATTAAACCATATATTTATAATCATTAAATAAAAATAGAAACGTAAAAAATTAAATAAATTTTGAAAAATTAAAACAATAAAATATATAAAACAAAATTAAAAGGATAAAACAACGTGAATAGTTGCTTAATTTATTATTAAATGCATGGAAGTTGCGGATGGGGGCAGCTTAAAGAATATGCTAAGGAATATAATGACCCAATTTTCTTGGTCAGCACAAATAATTAAAATCAATACATTCCCACATATTCTTTAAAGGCTTGTTTCGCCGTCACGTAAGATCACAAAATATGATATTTATTTTATTTTTTATGTTTTTCAAATAAAATAATATAATAATTTATTCAATTTTTATAATTCAAGTTTTTTTAAGAAGACAAAAATAAAATTAGGAGTTATTAAGATAAAATAATTTTGTTAATACTTGTCTACTTGTATTTTATACTTTTTTAATATATTATAAATAATTATTATTTAAAATTATAAAAATCTTATTTGATAAAAAAATATTTTACTTATTTTACATAATATAATTTTAATTTTTTCAAATTTATTTTAAATTATACAATTTTATAAAAAAATTTAAACTGTAAAAAATTATTATATTTAATATCAAATTTTGATATTGTAAGTACATAAGAATATAAACATATTTATTAAAAGTTCAAAATTTTAAATATATTTTTAAAAAAAATATATTAAGTTTGATAAATTAATATCTTTATTTTATTATTATTTATATCTTATTCTATTGGTTTTTATTTATATTAAATATTAAGTGATGGAATATTATTTGTTTGACTGTTTTAATATACACCAAATATAAAATAAAATAAAAATTATTTCTTTTGTTATCATATTTTATCTCTAATTAATTTTCATATTCTATCGTTTTCAATGTTATCACATTCACTGATGGATGTTAAGAATTAAATATTATTTATGCTTTAAAATTATAATTTACTTATTTTATAAATTCATAAAAATTTAACTTATAATTTAATTATTTTTTTAAATATTAATTTGAATTTTATTGTTACTTTGTATAAAAAATGATAAAAATAAATGTTATTTTATAAATTCATAAATCAAAGTTAATATTTTATAAAATTAAGAATTAAATGACCAATGCTTACAACCTAAAGAATTAAAATGAAAGTTTATTCTACATTTAATATAAAATTTATTTTTAAGAATAATTTTATTATTTATACTTAATTTTAAGATTTATTTAATTTAACTTTATGATAAATAATACACGATCAAGAAGAAAAAATATATTTTTATGACAACATGTACCACATGCATGTCACTCAAGTTCTATGAATCTCATTTTATTGTTGTTATTATTATGTGGTTTAAATATATTTGTAATATTTATAAATAATACTTGAATTAGTTATAGTCCATGTAAATAATTTTTTGATAGTTTAATTACTCAAAATTAAAGTTACTAATCATAATATATTTGTTAACTAGTTGCTATCTATGCTGTGGGGGGCTTATGCTTTATGGAAATAGTTACTTTATAATCAAGTTGCTTGATCAATAAAAGTTAACTTTTTCTACTAACAGTTTAAATGTTGACCAACTTAATTTTGTCTCATTCAATTCAAATTTATTACTTACCTGTTAAACATTAATGACTAGGGCAACACGATAACATGACAATAAGGTAAATAAGTTTAGACAATATAACTTGTAATAATAATTCAACTATTGATGTAACACATAATAAGAGTTTCTCCAATAGAAATTTAATATACCTTAGTTAGTAGGTGACAACCACAATAAAGTAAAGTACCGCGTGTTTTTCATTAAAAATTATTAATATCAATATCAATCTAAGTATCAAAATCTCTCTATCTATCTATCTAAATTAAAAATAAAAAAAATCCCCTTAAAAGATACAAGGTAAATCATTACCATAAAACATAATTTCTCCAAACACAATTAACAATTACTAGGTAGCAAATAAACTACAATCATTAGTTAATTTTTTTAAAATAGTTAAACCATTTTTTTTATAGAGACAAATCAATTCAAGTGCCATTTTTAAGGATTAAAAACTTATTTAAACAATCATTTATCATAAAATGACACATGTTAACCAATATCTTAGTTAAAGAATAAAATATGAGAAGTCTTTTATTAAAAATATCATTAATGCACCTCCATTATTATTTTTAAGGTATCCTAATGTTATTTTTTATAAAAAAAATATTTAGTTTTATTTTTTAACTTATGTTATAGTTAGCAAGACCATTATTGTAATATTAACGATTAAAATTTAAAAAAATAATATTTAAATTTAAATTTTGTTAACCTCAGCTTTTAAGATTAAGTTTAAATATATACAAATAATTTTTTTATAAAATTTATTATTATTATTAATTGCTTATTCTCAGTTTTAAAGACAAAATTCTTTTAATTTTAAAGACACATTTCAATCCTTATAATCTTAATCTGAAACATAGAGCTTCGGAGGATAAAATACAGGTGACCTGGCAAACATAGAGTTTCTTCTTTTTCACTTCCTTTTGCTTTGTAATGCTTTTTAGATCCATTTATGCACTCATTTTATCATTATTTAAGACGGGTGGCAGAAGCAACAATTGTGGACAATCAGGTGCTCCCTGTGTTTTTTATATGATAGTCTTATACCATGTTTTTAACCCTTTCTCCTTGTGTCTTGTGTCTGTGGATTTGAATTCATATTTTATTTTATTTTATTTGTATAATTGTATATATCTGTAGTGTTGTGGCCTAAAATGTGCAGATGCCACTCTTTGGCCCCGTTTCAGTAGTTGGAAGAGTCTTAGTGGTTCATGACCTTGAGGATGACCTTGGAAAGGGTTAGCAACACCGTGTTGAACATTAGTTTATATTTGCCATAGAACTTTATTATAGCGCAAATCACGGTGAACAGCTTCAGCACTTTTTCGTTAACTGAGTAAAACATCAGATGAACGTATGGTTACCATGACTGAGGAATGTCATGACAAAAATATGACATTGACTTCCCTCTTTAAGCTACTGTTTTGTAATATATATATATATATTTTAATATTTTGAACTTTCAATTTCATATGTAATGCAAAAAGGTCGACAAGCTGATATATTAATGGGTCAACTTAATTAAAATTAACACAAAAATAAAAAATAATTATAAAAATTTATAAACAAAATATTATTATATTAATAAATAAAATTTTAAATTAAAAGTATGTCTAATAGGCTAGCTCGCCTCAACTCAACCCATCATTCTAGTGGACTATGTGAGTCAGCTCGTTATACACAGCTTTCTTTGGCACCTCTAATCCTCACCATTTGTTTTATTCAACAAGACACACCACCATGCTTCATTTTGCACTAAATCATGTTTGTACCAATGTTGTGAAGTCTTGCACAACGTAATAGTCACCGGTGACCACATTGTATCACTCTCTATGATAATCACCATGTCCAACATTGTGGCACATCATCATTGGTTGCAGAGGGAGACGAGACAAAAACAAAAATAGAAAAATAAGACGATGATGATGAGAGATTCAAATCAAGATACATAATTGATTTAAATACTCAGAAAGAAGAGTTTTGTTATAGTTATAATGTGTTAAAAATAACATAAATAGCTAAAAATAATATATTTGGTTGACGTTCAAAAATAAAAAAAATTTAATAAGAAAAGTTTAAGGACTAAGGTAATCATTTTGTCAAGTTTTAACACAAGTGACATTTTTTTTAATGTGAAAGAAGAAACTAATCTACAATTTAATTCATGTTTGTTTAAACCTATTAACTAGGGGTGACAAATTAATCAGACTCAACTAAAAGTTTTACACTTGTCAGCTTGTTTAGTTTGTTTCATTTTAACCTACTAAAGTGTAGGCCAACGGTGGATGAGCCAACTTGTTAAGCTCAAATTTTAAAATTTTAAAAATAAAATATATTTTTTAATTAATTATTAATTTTATTTATATATATAAGAATATTATTTAATTTTAAAAATATTTTTTTATAATTTTTTATAATTTTTCTATTTTTATATTAATTTTAAGTGTGAGAGCCTTTTAACATCCCTATAAATTTATTTTTATTATTATATTTAATTTTTAACAAGCTAGTCGATTAATACATACTTAAGCAAGTGGGACTAAAAGATCTAATTCACTTTAAAAGGAAAAAAAATGGAGTAGATTAATTCATTTTATGGCTCACTCTTGTAAAAAAAAAATAAAAAACTCATTCGTGATCCAGCCCATTTATATTTAAAGATACTAACAACCCAAATCAACGGTGTTGAAAAAAACAATTCAAACCAACGGTTTCTCTAATATTAAAAACTAATAAATTTTTTATAGTACTTTATAAATTAAAAAATATTTTAATCTCTTTCCTACACAAAATAATTATAATCGTTAATTTTATATTAAAATATATAAACATAATAAAAATTAGTAATTTATTAAAAAAACATAAACGTCTTTCAATTTTTCAAATATTAAATAAATTAATCAGTCAATCGGGATATAAAATGCATGTATCAAGCTTATAATCACAATAGCAATCACCTTTAACAATCCCATTCCGTTCCCGCGCCTTTGATTGCATTGTTCAACTTCCCTCTTCCCTGTAACACACCTATTCTTATCTCGCAACTCCCAACACTTACCGTTTTTGCAGATTCCGTGGAGCATGACCTAAACGGAACTCCATCTTCGATCCAAAGCGAAAATGAAGATCAACAAGGCCTGCGATCTCTCCTCCATCTCCGTCTTTCCTCCTCCTCTCTTATATTCAAGGTTACTTTTCCCCTTCCCTTTTTCTCTCAATTCATTCCTTTGCTTCTCATTATTTTCTTTCCAATCACTATGAAGAATAGAATGCTTGTTTGAATATTTTGTTCTGAGAGAATAAATCGTGGATTTGAAGTTTATTTAGATCATTTTTATGTAGCTGAATTTCTGCATCCAACTTCGTGTTTTAGAATATTGTGTACTCTGCTGAACTCTCTGTTTGGATCCTGTGAAATTATGAAATCTAGAAATATTAATCCAAATCCAACGAATAGTAGTTCAGGCAGATTGTGTTTCAAAATATTGATGTTGAAAATTTTTGTGGCCTTTTCTGTTGTGGAATTTGAAAAATAAAAATAAAACACGTGAAGGAAAACAAGCGCTGTATCAAGTGGATTGCAAGCGTCTCACTCTCAGCATCGCTCGCAACCGTCTCAGCAATCATTTTCTCAGGGGCTTTCATCTCAGCACGGAATATTATCTCATTTCTCTCAAAACTCTCTCGACGAGGCTGTCACCACAAATGATCAGGTTGGAATATGTTGCTTCGAATGCTTCCTATACGATGCATGGTTTTACCTTTTTTTGATTTTCCATATGCGAGTTCACTACAGTAGAAAATATACTAATAAGCTTGACTTTCGTGTTAGAGAAATTATAGTGACACATTCTTTATTGCACTCCTTAAATAAACACTTAAATTTATTGAAAACCACAAAAATTATACATTCTCATCCCTAATTAAATGTTTCTCGATTATACTATTATTGTTTTTAATAACTTTCTGCTAATAATGTAGAATATGTTAGAGTGTGTTTTTAGGCGCTTCTTTTTTTGCATAAACTTGATCGTGCTTCTCTTATAAATTATTCGTGACTTGACATTTGACTTTAAATTCATACTTCCGGGTAAATTATCTGAAACCTACAACATATTTACGTTTATTACATGGTTCTGAACTACTTTTGAAGTGCGGAATAGGTTACTATTACCGTCTAAGTTTTCCTGATAAATAAAGAACGTCTTCTAAGATCCTTCAATCAATTATAAAATGCATTTTTTAAATAGTAAAACTACATATTTTGTTAGAGTTATTTCCTTTCCGTAAGCATATAAACATACATACATGCATTTTGTGATTCTATTTCTGTTTATTGCGTTTTGTTAATTCTTCTAGAGAATTGGTTCTCAAGAACATGAGAACTCTTTGAGGAAGATTTCTAGCTTGCCCCGACTTACGTATTCACGAGAAGAGAGTCAACCACCTAATTCGAGATCTTCGTCCAATCTCATGCTCAAATGGAATTCTGCTGATCATAAAAGTAAGAGTATATTCTGAAAGTATGAGTTTTATTTTTCCATCTTATAACTTAGCATCCACATTACATATATCTAAGAGTGATCTTACTTTCTTGAACCTACGCAAAAGCAGGAAGTCAATTTAGTATACTTTACTAATTATAATACAGGTCTTCTAACGTATAAAAGCCTATATATAGTAATTTTTTTATTAAAAATTACAAGATATCATAAGATGTTATATATTTATAATATTAAATGCTATAATTTTTAATAAAACTTTATTATTTATTAATTTCTTATCATGTATCTTTTACATAGTTAGAAAAATCGATTATAATAAATCTATTATATGCTTTTCCAGGTCAGTTAAGTGAAGGACTTGAACACCGAATTGGCATAATGGAAACTTCATTGAGCAGGTTTGCAATGATCTTGGATTCTGTTCAAAGTGACGTAATGCAAGTAAACAAAGGAACAAAGGAGGTGACTTTAGAGAGTAAGTGGCTCACATTCTAAGTAATAGTATTGACAAATATTCTGAAAAAGATTTATGTTGTGTCATACGGATCAATGTATGTACTACTTATATGTGGAAGACGCGAGTCCATTAATCGTTTATTTACTTAAATTTGAATTTGTGTAATCAGTAATCACATTTTTCAAGAGATTTTCCTGAAATTTTGTATGGCAACCACCTCTGATTCTCTGCTTATGTTGCATTTTCCATCAACTATATATTCTTTTAAACGTGGTTCAACCGAAGGTAAGGCTGTTTTTTTTAGTTTGTAGTAGTAGTACTTTATAACTCTGATGTCCAGCTCGATTTACTTCGCATTAAATATTTGATGCTAGTTTGCTCAGTCCGGACATTTTTAGGATGGTTGCGTTGGATCCGTTTTCAAATTTATAATAATCTGAACGTATTTATTGGATTGGTCCATTGCATGAACTACTATCATAACCTAGTATACGGTTTTAACTCCTCACTTTCCATTCAGTGGAATGCATAAGGCAGAAGTTGACTGCTCAGGATAACTCACTTCAGTTAATGGTAATAATCTGATTTCTATCTTGACTTGCCTGACTTCTCTATCATAAATGGGTATCGAAGTTCAGGAGACTGAGAAACAGCGATCTTAATTTAAATCAGACTAAAGGACAAGAAGAAATGAAAGCAAGCATAGAGGGGAGCTTGAAATCTTTATCTGAACAAATGAGCCAGATTAACAACAAAGAGAAGTTACAGGAAGTATTTTTGGTGGTTTCGGCCTTGCCTCATCTGATTGAAGCATCCCTGCAAAGTGTACAAAATGATCTCCATAATACCACAAAAGAAATGCAGGCACGTAAGATATGGCAACGAATAATGATTAAACTTGAAATTTTGTTAAGATCATTAACGGATATATATACAACATAAAGACTGCCTTAAACACTTCATCGTAATTTTTTTACTATTATAGTACGAAGCCTTTTTTATACCAATAACTTTCTTTCTTTTCCTTCTCGTTTATATATTAGTCTCTAAATTGCGGTCAACCAACTGACGGCTTTACCAACGAGTACTTGCAGGAAATCTCTTGCAGTTTAAAAAGCCTCAATCAAAAGGACCCGGCAGAGCCTCCTCTATCTTTAAAGGTGCTCTTTATCTGTTAATGAACCATAAACTATTTTCTCTTATTTTTTATGGGGAAAGGAAAATTACCTTGTTCCATCTTCGTTTTTCTAGTGTGAAAAGATTTCCTTGCTCATGATTATTTTGTGGTAAAAAAGCGTAGACTTTTTTTCCGCCCCCTGATACTTTGTTAGCTTGCAGAGTATTAGCCAAGAAGTTACCACACCGAAAATGTGTCAGCCTCCTGCTAAGTAAGTGTACCTTGTAAATTTACCTTTGACTGAAAATAGTGTCTGAGAAAAGTTTTATCTATTTGCTACAGTAGTAGTTGGTCAATTTCACCAAATTTCATTTACGAAAACATTTTGAAGCATTGCTGCTTACTGGACTATATCATATACTTCGCACTCCCAAATGTGAGGATAATTCTACTGTGGGTTAAATTTAATATATTATGTGACATATATTTATTTGATCTTTTCTGAAAAGGGTGAAGTCCTATCTGATGAAAGGGTAAAGTCACTTCTTTGGGAGGCTACTCATCCTTTTGTTTTGGAGAATGCTGCCTCTACTGTTTTTGAGCCACATGTATTTAAAATTCCAACTACCAGTCATTTTGGTTCGTAAAATTACAAAATAAAAATTAATCTTTAAAATTATTTTACTGTTAATCATTTTATTACTTTTAGATCTGTCAATTTAATTTCTAAAACTTTCAACTAGCAATCATTTTAATCATTAACGTTAATATGCATTAATTAGTTTAATCCTTAATATTAGAAGCCAAATTAATTAATGATTGTGCAGTTCACAGGCTAAATTAACTGATAGTGCCCAAATTTCAAATTAAATTGACGTTTTACTCAACTTTTTACGATAAACACATCATTGCAATTATTTGATTTTCTACACTTGAAACTATTCGTTTTTGTAATTTATGTACTTTTGCGCGTTGATTGACAAAATCAATGTCCATTGGAGCGTAATGATTTATTTTATACTCCTTCTAGTCTTATTTAAAAGACATTTTAACTAAGTTACTTGTATAATACTTCTAAAAGCTTTATAAAAGAGTTAAAGAAATATAACATTTTCCTTTTAAAATTGTATGGAATTATTAATTGATAATAATTTGACATTTGCAAAAAGCATTTGTTTGAGTATGACCAAGTTCACAGATATTTTTCTTGACTTCAGGGAAGCTAAGTCTTGTATACGAGCTACTGTAGCTCCAATGGGAGAAACGGGAGGCTGGAAACCAGTTAAAAAAGAAAGAGTCACTTTTTCAGATAGAATATCTGAGAAGGTGCAAAAGCAAAACGAACCACACACCAAGAAGGTATTTTCAACTTAATCATATGTTCTTGCTTCTTATAAGTTATCGTTATCGATATGATATGAACGCAGTTGCATATGAACTTGACAGTGACATTTGTGATTTGTCACTTCACTGCATGTTCGTGCAAAAGATTTCTGCTTATTAATTTGACAAATACATGGTTTATCAATTCCCTTGTACTATTTGAATGACAGTACTTTAGGGAAGGAAGGGACTGTACAGTTATCATTTTATCAGACGAGGAGACTGATGAAGGCTTTTCCTGTCTGGTAGAAGAAAATGCAGGTAGTTGGCAATGCACTTCCGGCGTGCTCAATTTTTAATTTACTTGGTGCATATTTGGATTCAGATTTGAACGGTCATGAATTCATGTTCACAATAACGCTATTAATTTAAGCTTCTACGTTGGATCACGCTTAAATAATTTTAACGTGTTCCAAAACATGCATTTTTAAAATTGTTTGAAACTGGATTATTGTAATAGTAAGCAATCCCCGTGTAGGAGATGACTTCAAGTTCTTCTAGATGCAGTTTTGAGCTATGAAAAGCATTACTTAACGCTATCTGCTATTTAAAAGTGTTGGCAATGATGGAAATGTGTACACTGCATAGAATTACTACTTATTATGGTAATGATTTGTCAAAGCACGCTATGTATTTATTGATTTGCTTTAAATTATTACCGGGAATATACAAATTTAATTTAACGCTGTCATATTTTAAGTTTTCGTTATTTGAATAGAAGTATTAACTGCTGTAACTAAATATTTCTATGGAGAAGATCTATTCGGAAATTCGACCAAGGAAGAAGAGGAAGAAACCGAGCGGATTTTGCGGAAAGCAAGGAGGCGCAAGAGAAAGTATTCTAATGCTACAACCATCGATTGAAGGTACCTCCTTTTGCTCTGACTTCTACGTATCATAGCTCTTTGGAGAATGTTCGTAACTGCGTTTTGCTAGAATGGAAAAAGGCTACAATTTTGATAAAATTTGTGTTGGAATATGCATTTTTGGGTTGAAATAAGTAAACCTTATTCTGTTTGCCACGGTGTAAATATCAAAGTTTGATGGCATATATAAAGATGATATCGTTCCCTACATTGAAAATAATTAAAAGAAAACCTATTTTATAGATACGTTTTTCTGTAAAAAAAAAGGTATAATATCAGCAATCTTTTTTTAGTTGTTTTTTACAAACAATTTATGGTCCGATTGGCTTAACTTTTAAAAGCTAACACTGTTTACACATCGACAATATTCTTTGATGGAAACGAAATAAATGTCACAAAACCACTTTTTTGTATTCTCGTTTTTGGTCATCGAAAACTACTTTCTTGTCTGAGCTTGAGCAGGTGCAATTTGACTCTCAGAATTCAGGTGCATTATGCATGCAACAGGACCGCGCCCCCCTCCCGGTGCGCCGGCGCCCCTCAGGGTCCAAAATGTCTCAAGCTTCTTTCTTGGGTTTACTTTTATCAATTTTGTGCAGTGCATATCCTTCCCTAGAAAGTTGATTGTGCTCAATTTTACTGAAGGCTTGCGTAGGTTTTTCATTCCTTGTAGTTTTATGACGTAGTTTTGCTCAAGACAAAGAAATTAATCATTATAATAATTAAAAAGGAAGAAATTATTCAGTGCACAATTGGCCTTTTTCTAAATAAAATTCCGTAGTCCCCCCTCCGCGTTTTTCGGTCAGTTGTGCCGCTCGTAAAATTGAGTCTCGCACTCAAATTGCTGGGTCTGTTTCGAACCTTTATGTTAGTGGAAATGTTGAAGCGGCAGAAGAGTTGGACATCGAAGCCCATCAAAGCAATGTCTATTAGTCAAATCCAAGCCCATCATAGCAAAGTCTATATTAGTCAAGTGGGCTGTTTAAACCCAGAAGCACCTTTTACCAAAAAATAAACCCAGAGGCACCCATATATACCTCACTAAATAATTATTACTGCATAGCAAAAGTAGCAAACTAAACATTGCTATGTAATAATAACAGTTCAACATTATCCAATACAACAGTCAATTAGGTCACGTTAATGCTTTCATTTTGAAATGTAAAGTATGAGGTAGATGAGCTTCACCTAAACCTGATATCTATAATGGTGAGGTAGTTTTCCACTACTTTGCTACTAATCATAATTTGTCGTTGGTCGAACGCCCCTATCCAAGTAGGGCATTAGCTGCTTCCGGAGAGACAATCTCTCCTCTTGGAGGGTGAGTGGACTCTAGACGTGGGTTCCGCTTGAGGGAACATCAGGACGCCACACAGTAAAACTTTAGTGAAAGATGAAAGCAACCAACAGGACTGGAACATCCCACGGTCCATGTTCGTCCTTTAAACATATTGTTTTTACCTTTTAATGGCTTATGAAATATAATGATAAAATCTGCAATATTGCTCTTTTATGTGTGAAATTATTTTCCATTTTGCCAATCTTAAAATCCTCATTTAAACCACATAGAAGAAACCTTTTTTTTTTCAAACAAAAAGAATAACAATCTAGACATTAAAATAAAGTTCTCATCTAAACAACATAAGATTTATCGGAGTTGAAGTACTAAAATCAGCGTCTGCCAACTAAAGAACTTTATTCTTTTCCTTTAGGACTGATTATTGGTATCTTAGAACCAATAAATAATGACTTAAAAGCTAGAGAGAGAGATATTTGTTGTAAAGAGGTCGAGTGTATCTGCACTAGATGTCAATGTAATCTCTTTTGTAATAAAAAAATCTTGGAGGTAAAAATTACCGTAATTTTTTATTCAGAGTTTTCAATGGTTGTCTGCAAAACAAACTCCTATTGGATAAACCGATAAAGATTCTTCACATTATCTATTCTTTTTAAATGATTAGTCGCTATAATGTTGTTTAGTGTACCATGAAGCGGTGTTTATCCCCCTTTGTTAACAGATATTTTGTCTTATTGTTAAATTCTAACATCGACACTATTATGCGCTTTTTGTCAAATGATAATCTCCGAGCCGCCGAGGATTTTATTTTAATGTGGAATGTTACAATCTATTAAATATTACAAGAGAACACAAAATTAATTATGCCACTTCAATTTCCACCCTTCACGAAGATTTTACTACTTCCTTTGTAAGTAGTAAAATGCATAAAAGATTCATCTTTCCACACAGTGGGGTACAACTTTACTTTTTCTTTTTCTTTTTTCTAGATAGCATATGGAATGAGAGCACTTTCTAAGACATGGGGTAGAAAAGAGGGGGCATCCAATGCTTAAAAGACAGTAGTTGGAATTAGCTTACCCACTATTATTTGTTTTAAAAAAAAAAAAAAGTAGAGCAGCATAGGTTGGACAAGGAGGAGATATGAAGTTAATTCCATCACGTTTCACATAATATCAAACAAAAAAAAAGTTTTAATATTTTGATAAATTTAGTTTTATACATGGCATAACTAAATGAATGTGTTGGTTTAAACTTAAAATAAAGAGTAATTATGTGATAGTTTTTAAAGATTTTACAGAAATTATTTTTAACCTTTGGAAAATGCAAAAATATATTTTTTTTAGATTTTTACTTCACTGAAAAAATATTATTATAATTTCTTAAATATATTTTGAATTTAAAACTTTTCCATGTAAACAACCTCGACAAACCATTCAAACCATAATATCTGAGGTTATAAACCTTAACTTCGATTAACAGTACAGATGTGCACAGTGAAAAATTAAGAAAAAAGTACAACTATGGACCACCCACATCACTTAATAGGTTAACTACCGGCTTAATATCCTTGGGACCGACACGCAACCCGAGCCCAAGTACATAGATAAATCGACAATTGTGGAAGTAATGTCCTTTTTCACGAAAAATGTCAATTTGAGAGATTGCATTGTAATCACTAAAATATAACATAATTTGAATAATTTCTTCAGAAATATTTGTAGAAAGAAAAAATTAAAATAAATATATTTTTTTATAATCTAAAATTAATTTATATTTTTTTATTTTAAAAATATTTATTTTTTTCAAAATATAATAAACATAAATGAGTTTTAATTTATAAAAAATTGTGATATTGGCTGAAGAAATAAACTGCAAAAGATTGATATAAGTGATGAGTTGTGCTATCAGTTATCATCTAGTTAATTTGAGTTAGTTATAAGTGTGAGTAAGACATATAAAATATTCTTCAATCTAATATGGGTGTGAAAAAAAAAACACTTCCTGTGTAAGAATATGAATTTTTATATTTCTAAAGTTTTTTCTGACTTTGAGAGAATTCTTCTGTAACTCAAAAAAGAGAAAACTTGATATTGATAATGATTTTTTTTGTAAATGTAGATTAGAGTTTGTTAATGCTTTAATGGAACTAGGTAATTTTCTTGTGTGTGTTGTGCTTCTTTCTATTCTGTTTTTTTTTTCTTGTGATTGTGTGGAAAAAATAAAGTTTTTAGTTGTTATTTTTGTGAATTTAGTTTAATTCCACAACAAAAAAATTTGTTATGCTTTTTTTATTACTATTCTACAAATACTTTTGGAAAAAATCAGCCAATCCAAGCCTACATGAAGGAAGAAGAGGAAGAAAAGGCTGGAATTATGTGGCACTAAAAACATGCAAATACTTTATATACCTTGTCCCATGAAGAACCGTGGTCATTTTCTAAGAGTTAAAATTTTTGCTTCATAATCAATATGAGGTGAATGGCATAACGGCTCCATAATTTTGCAAAGCTGGTGGTGTGAATGATTACATTAAGGGTAAGTGGTGCCTCTGTTCTTCGTGGTCCTCAATTTGTCTTCATCGACCCTACCACCCACATTGAATGCCTTGAGGGCAAAGGCAAAATAAAAGAACTGTTTCTCAACGTTCACTTAAAAAATATAAAGAAAAATACAAGCATTAGACCACTGAAGTATCTCAAAATCAATCACATTTGAGGAGGGACTAGGGTAATCAACATTTTGATTGTATGTAAGAAGCGTTTCTTAAATTAACATATACACTATTTTTCTCTCATTAATAATTTACTCTTGACCGATTAAAAGAGAAACCACTTTATGAAGAATATTTTGATTATATTTTTAGCCAATATAAAATATCTTAACACATCTGTCTCGTGCCCAAAAAAAGACTTAAACTCGCTCTTAATCATAAGAAAATGATTGCCTAATCTTAGTTAATTTGAGACATTTAATATATGTTGCTCACATTTTTATCTTCTTTATACTATATGCAAGAGTAATATCTTGAAAGATTTCCATTAAAAAAAAAGGACAAGAGGATGATATCGTATCTATCTCTCTTAGTCATTGTTTGTAATATGTTAGTTGCATCAAATATGTATGTCTAGCTAATTCAGAAGTAGATTCCAGGTATGTGGTCCCAAAAGGGTGACACTGAGACCTTTGTTCTATCTCACAAAATCATAATCATATCGATGGCTCCAATAGATTCCACAACTTTGATACAAGTGCCGCGGGTAGGAGCAAGATATACATAGAATTGATTGCTTCTTGGTATTGTATTATTCCATCCATTATTTTCTACCAACAACCATGAAAGTATGTATCACATAAACTATGATTACAAAGGAGAAAAAAGAAACCCTTTTAAATATAATGGTATTACTATTATGAAACATTTTTTTAATGTGTTTAAGGACACATAATAAAAAATAGTTTTTTTTTTATCATAAATTATATATTTTATAATTTTTAATGAAAATTTAATATATAAATTCTTATTGTATATATACATTAAAAAAATCTATTATGAAAACCATGCTTTGCCTAAATAGTAGTTGAAGTGCCACTGCATGTGTGTGACATGGGGAATGGAGGTGCACACGTTTTGTCTCATACAGTACATGTCAATGGAGTGGACACTAATCAGCATCAAAGTTGAGGAGAGAAAAGGGGGGCCCAACTCATCTATTTCTAGGCCCAAGTGCTCCTCACATGCTTCATTCGAAAAGCTTTGGCATCCCAAAATGAAGTTGTGTGCCACACATAAATAAGAAACCTACACAAATTTGTGTCCTACTTTGCAATTTTGTATCAAAAGATGATGCT